GGAAACAAAAACGGAACAAAAAATGCATTTTTTTTGTCTACTTTTCTACTTTTGTCTTTTTTTTTCTTTTGTTCTAAGTTGTTTTTTTTTCATCGAAAGATAAAATAGAACATATTTATGTGCGGGCTTTACGAACTGATAGTAAAATAGAAAGAAACCTATATATATATTGCATACTATCAGAACGCACTTTTCTTTCCTCTCGGCTGAACAGAAATAAAAAAGCAATCACTCGGGAAAGAAAGTGAAAGGATGCTCATTGAAAATTTAGAAAAATATGATTAAATATTTGACAAATATGAATGAAAAATCAATAGAGCAAACAAAAGACACACGCACGTCCATAAGCATACATATATGCTTAGAATTTTGGCTTCACACCACCTTTACGTTGAAAGTTATGGATTAGACCATTTTTTAAATTGGCTGTAACAGTCTCAAGTGTTGAAATCTTCAGACGAAGTTCAACATTGACACGTTCATATTCAGCACTGAAATAAAAAGAAAAGAAAAATTATTAATAAATAAAAGATTGTTCTTTTCATTAGTTTTTACCATCGAACATCCATATCACCAAATTTTTGTTTTCGTACTGCACGAGATATTTTTGATGCTTCATTATTTTTTCGACGTCTTTCCAAATAATATGATAAGTCGTCTTCTGTTTTTATATCTGTAGCACGATGAATATGACGTGGATTTTTAGTTCTTCTTAATGATATGGAACTATCTTCAGATATTGTTGGTGATGAACATGCACTTTCATTTAGTATTTGATTAAAATCAATTAATGTAGCACGCGATTGAAGTCGAGATGATGTACGACGAGGTCCACGTGTTGGTGTTCGTTTAGAAATTGTTGGTGATGGTGATGGTGTATCAAAAACTGTTGCTCGTTTTGATAAAAAGCCATAATCATGTTCAAAAGCAACTAGAGCACTAGGATCAAAATTGAATTCCTGTGCAGTAGGAGCAGATGTTGATGGTGTGGGTACAAAATCATCAAGTGAATTTAATTGCGTATAAACTAATACATTATCTGGTTCCATTTTTAATTGATTTGTTTCTATATGGAATATTTCTTTTGCTGGTTGTTCTAGTGTTGGTGAACAAAGTTCAGAAAATGATCCTGATGAACAAGCTGTTGCAGATGGTAGTATACTATTTATATGATTTGAATCAATATCGTTTGACGTATTCATTTGATCGGATGAATCACATTGTAACTATAAACAGAAAAAAAACGTATTGTTTAGATATACTATTTTATCTTTCTCTAATAAAGTGATTTCGAAATCCCATAAAGGAAGCGAAGAAAAAGAAGAAAATGTTTTTTCCCACTTACATATTCGCTGAGACTTCGTGTATCAAATAATTTCATTGGATCAAATTTAGCTATATCATTCATGTCAAAATTCAAATCATTGGCATTAATGTCACTTAAAAGTCGATGAAGTGTAAATTCATTACTATTTGCACACAGCTCGTTCAACTGATCTGAAGATTCCCAATCTATTCAATTTAAAAGAAAATAAAATTCATTATGATGTCTTTTTTTTTTAATAAATGAATTACCTTTGTTAAATAGGCCACTTGTCTTCAGGACTGAACGTAGTGGAGTGTTGAGGTTCGTCGACAGTGAAACAGGTAGATGCATTTGGTCCCCATGAATTTCTTCGTTCAGAATCACAGTCGAGGTCGAATTCGAACGAGTCAAAGTCATCTGGGATGATTTGATCAAGTTCGAATGTGCTTGTTGCATTTGTTGCTTCATTTGTTGCTGCTGATTCATATAAATGCTCTAATTCGTTAAGGGGGTCGACAGTGCGATTGTGCTCCTCTCCACTATGAAACATACCCGAGTCGATGCAGAGAATATATAAAACAATTTTTTTCTCTTTCTTTCTTCCTTTTTGCTATGCACCTTTTTTTGTCACTTTGTCGTTCCTTGTACACCCTTTGCTATTACTGTTGTTGTTGTTTTTTTTTTTATGATGATGATCACGAAGTTGCAGTAGCAATTAAAATAGCTGACAGTATTCGGTTATTAATAGATGCCCTGTTATATACACATATATGTATTTGTTAACCAACTCAATCCTAATTTCGACGCATACAAATAGGATTTCGTTAGTCGACTATGACGACTAGAAGAAACACATTATTCTATCCGGTTTTTTTGTAATCTAAAATGCAACAGAACAGCATAGGATTATTTTTCTTTTCAAGAAGTTGAGAAGGGTATTCAAATTACTCTTGCCTTAAATCGTAAAAAATATCGATAATAAAACACAGAAAAACAAAAAAAAATGATTTCGTTTTGTTTTCATTTCACATTTAAAAGAGCGAAAAGCGAATCGTCAGTAAATAAGAAGAAAAAAAAAATAGGTGACCTGATGTGTGCTTATGTTTTTCTTGACTTCGCAAAAACAACAAACTTCGAAAATAAAAAAAAGAAAATTTGAGATAGAGAAAAGTAATATCAAAAACTCCTGTTTTATGACGTCCAAAAGAAATAAAAGGGTCGGATTTTTTGTAAAAGAGAAGAATGTTGACTGTAATTGCATTTGAATGCATTACAAGAATAAACTTGTGGGTTTTTTTTTATGCCTGTCAACTTCTATTGAGAAAATTTTTTTTTCTCTATAGCAGAATGGTTACCATGCAATCCATAAATTACATAAATAAATTATTCAAAAATAGCTTGTTATAGAAATAAAATAATACCTTACGAAAAGTATCTTCTTTTACTAGAATGTTTTAGGTCATAATACCTAACACTCAGAATTTGATTTGTAGAAATAATAATCGTAGGCAAAACTGCTCTACTATAAAAAAAAACTTATGTGGAGATATGTTGCAAATATTTGTTCACGATATCGGGTGCTTCAGCGGATAATTTTGTGTTGTTGGTTTCCTATCTCTATCGTAGGTAAAAACGAATGAAAGACAATAACAGTAGTGTCGGAGTCTGCTTTATATAGCATATTTACCGCTCATTTTTTCCCTGTTGTTTTTTTTCTTTCCTTTTCTCTATGACATCATGTTGAATCAAAGAGAGAAAGAGAAAGACATACAGGAATGAGGGATTCCGAAGCTCATGTCGTCAATGTACATAAACTTTATAGAAATAAAAAAAAAAGTAAATGAATCTTGTTTTTCTCTTTTACCCCTCGAAATTTGTCATCATGATGCATAATGACTAGCCCCATCTCATAATAAAATAATGCTTATAAAAGAATCGCTATTTGTTTTTTTCTTTTTACCAAATATAGGCAAGAAAAAAAAGAGAGTGCATACTAGACTAAAACAGGCATATATGTTGCTGTCGAAATATTTCATAATTGTCTTTCATAATTTTACTTTACCTTTTTCATCACAGAATATGAAAAAAGGTTGCTACCGATGAGCATTAACGCTGACGTGTCTTTGCCACGTCTACATCAGTATTATTTCAAACGCAATTTTGCTTTCTATTTAGTATTATGAATAATATTGACCTATATATTTAAAGAATATTTTCCAATTTTTTTAATGTTCACAAAAAAAAAAATAATCTAACATTCAATGATTATTGTAAAATAAAACAATTTGAATAACGTAAATAGAAACCATTTGATTCAATCATGCCTGAAAGAAAATATTTCTTATTGTCCTCATTAAAAGCTACTAATAGGCTATATGTACTCTTGTTGTTTTTTTCTCGTTGTCAACACTTTGATTATTATGACCTTGACATAGGAACCGAAGAAAACAAATCTCATTCAATAAAATAATATGCCCTTATAATCAAAAAAAAGTTCTTATATTCATCATCAACAACAATTTTTATTTTCTTTCTCTCAGGTTTCTTTTTTGCAAAATACCATACTTCAAAAAAAAATACAAAGACGCATATCAAAATAGCCAAAAAAACAAAAAAAAAATGATGAAATTTAATTATATGCTAAAAAAGACAAATAGTGATAATGATAGTTGCAAGCAAAACTAATCTAATACTTGAAAATTGTTTTTTTTTTTCAGCAAAATATTACCAAAACATAGATATACAAATATATACGATGAAGTTATATTATTTATTCAAGAGAAAATAAAAAAAAAGACTTTCAAAAGATAAAAAGAGATCTAAAGTGAAATTTGAATTCATCAAAAAAACAAGACTATTTTTAGATAAAATCTAAAATGTCATTTAATTTAGTGACACAAAAAAACAAAGGGTTTCTGACGTCAAGTTCAAGGTTATAGCAATTATTTGTCTTAAGCAATACTTGATTGCACCATATTTACAAAATTTTTCGATTTCATGACTCAAGAGCTCGGATGTAACATGATAAGAGAGACGAGCCTTGGATATGTGTATAGTAACAAACCATAACAGAGCAGAAAGAAAAAAGTTGCGTGAATCATTATTGAACGATGTAAATAAATAGATGTCATGATCTTAATAAATGTCTTCTATGTGGAGGATTTAACCTAGTTTTTGATTGACTGAATCGATGAAGAAAAAAAAAGAAGAAAGTGGTTTTTTTCTTCTTCTTCTCTCCTCTCTTTTCTTCCGTTCCGATTGGATACTGTTGGAGAAAAGAGGAAATTTCGTTTGCCGTACCCTGTACGACCATTAACAAACGGAAAAAAAAAAGAAGCAAAAGAAAAGAAAGGCGCAAAAAATTACTTCACTCACTCGTTGCTTTTCTCTATCGTAGAGAAGAAGAGAAAAAAAAAAAAGTCGTCTCAGCATACATGCATGTATAAGACTCCTTCGTTGTCTATTATTATTCAAACAAATAAGTAAGAACAAATTCAGAGAAAAAAAAAAAGAAATGAAAATTTCTGATAGTACAACTACATCTACATTACTTATGCCATCATCAATACTATTAAAAAAAAACAAAACAACTGTACTAATCTATTTCACGACGGCCTTTTCATTCTACTAATACGTTTCTTTTCTTTCTATCATTCAGAAATCTTTCAAACCAAATCGTCGACTCAAAAACCGTATGAGTACATTATCAAAAAATTCACCATCAATTTCAATTCCGATCAATAATTATCAGGTAAATTAATGTTATTTATTCATATATACCATGTTCTATGAAGTTCAACAGATCTTATTTCTTGTAAGATATAAAGACTAAAAAGCAGCATAAAATGTTTGATGCTTGTCAATAGATTTTACCTGATTGATAACTTACGAAATCGAATCAATCAATAGAACTTTCAAACTCAGAACTACCAAGCTCCCATAGTAACCTATGAAACCATCGATTTAATAAAAAAATCTTTACAAAAACATGAATATAAGATAAAGTTTTTGTTTTGATATATTATTAAACAAAGATTTGAATGATGTTTAATACAAAAATATTTATCTAGTTTGAAGTCAAATTGTGATATTCGAAAACATAGAAATATGAACGTATTACTACTAAAAGAGATGGAAGTTTGAAATTTTCTTTTATTAAGATTATTCCTGTATCTTCTTTATGGACAAATACTCAAGTAACTTCACCAAATCCAATAATACGACTAATCAATACCAATCCTAATCCAATTAATACTTCTTCATCATCAGGTAGATAATTTTGTAAACTCAAATATATAAAATAATTTTTTCAATTTTTCAATAGTAATCATGCCATCTTCGATACAGCAACAACAACAGCAACAGGTTGAAATATACTTGTCAAACATGCTTCTTTTTCATCGTCATCAACTTATATATAAACTCTTTTTTTTTTTCTAGAATACACCTGTTTATTCATCATATAAACCCTTTAGTACGTATGAAATAGATCGTTTTTTTTTCTAGTTTTTCTTTTCTAATGAAAATTTCAGCTGCTCCTCGTGTAACAACTACACTCATTCCACTCAATGTATGTCCTACAGAATATTGTCAAACAGTAAAATCAACACCAATACCATCCATTAGTATCGTACAAAATAATAAAGAACAGACGATGTTCGAAAACAAATCAAAAGGCACTATAACAACTCATGTTATTGGTGATTGGATAATACGTGAAAGATCGGAACCAGTTCAACGAAAAGAAAATGAACAATTAACAACACCAATAGAACAAATTGTTAATCCAGAAAAACAAGTCATTTCTAATGAATCTATTACTTTCTATTCATATTCATCGAAAAATGTTAACCAGTGGACTGTAAGTTATTGTTTCATAGAAAAACAAAATTATGCTTTTTTTCTAAGTATTTACTATACTGATTTTCTTATTTTCTTTTGAAAACAGAATAATAAGCATCTAGTATGTAGTGACTCTCATAATTATTCGACCAGCTTTATCTTTAATGTTTTTCCATTGTCGTAAACATTAATACGAATTCTAATATTAATTTGCACAGAGAATTTCATTTCCACGAAGAATCTTCGAAGATAAAAGTGATTGATAGTTTTTCAATGTAATGACAGAAGAACTGACTTTTGTGTCATCCGTATGATTGATACATCCCAGTCAAAAAATATCATAGAGAGTTAGAAGACATTTCATTTTGTAGAGAATCGTTCTCTCTCTTATTCTGGATGATTTAATCAGAATTTTATTGGCTGATTTTACGAGCTCACAAACTAACAATCACCTTCATCTTCATAAATTCTTATTGGACATGAAATTGAATCTGTTGTATATAGGCTTGTATTAAGTCTGAGTAGCTCACATTTGCTAAGATTCTGACACATACTTTAATGTAAAGTATGTAACTCGACATGTTATTTCTTAACGATGTTCTCTTTAAATATTCTTCTATTTCATTCAGTTGAATGACAGATGTATCGTTTTAGATTGTCATTCATTACAGAAATACTTTTTTCACATGATCTTTTCTATCAAATCAATGTTTCTTAAAAATAAAGAAATATCTATAGAGAAAATAGCTAATCTTCATATTAAAATTCAACATACTTCTGTCGCTGACGAATAGAAACTACTATATATGGAAACAGAATATTGAACTGTATATACATTGACTACACTTGTTATCGTATAAGAATGAATTTTAATTTCAAACAAGGCAGCGTTATTGACGCATAACAAAAAAAAAAGAGATAAATCGAAACAGGTCACGTTCGAGCTGCTCGATATAAGCCTAGTCGTATGATAAAGTTGTCCAAAAGGTTAAATGAAGGATACAAGAAATGTTTTAAACTAAAGTACAACAATTTTCCATATCTGTCACTTAAATTTCTAAAATAATGATGCACATTTAAGGGCCCCCTCCCCTCAAAAAATCAATTTTGGTCAAATTTATCGATTTTGTGATTTATAACTCATTAGGTAGAGCAAAGTGTCTACTCTCGAATGCACTATAGTTGATTGATTTTATGATGGGCTTTAAGAATATTACATAAGTTTTTCTGAACCTTCATATTGGAAAAAATAAGGCTTTTAAAAACTTATTTTCCGTTTTTCTCAAAATCAGTTTTTTCGAGTATACCGTTTACGCGGGCACGCCTTTCTTAATAACGACTCAATAGAGAAGGAATAATTTTTTCTTATTGCATAGAGGACAAGTGGAGCTAGACCCTAATAGAGCCCGATTTTTGAATATCTCTTCTGCTGAAATAAAAAACTTGAATCTTTCGTTTTATTTAGCGACTTTTTTGACCATGAATTCGAGAATTTTTTGAAAAACAGTTTTTAAAAAACAAACGAAGGGAAATTCAAAAATCGGACTCTATTAGAATCTAGCCCTAAGGGTACTCTACAATTTAAAAGCCACGCAGACATATTTAGCTAATATCCTCATGTTGAAAACCTTACTCGCGTAAAGGGTATTTTTGACCAATGAATCGACTAGAACTTGTGCATATCTTTGAGATTTGGGGGAGATATTTTAACCGTAATCTATCCTAGCCTAGACTAACATTCTCTGAAATTTTGGTTGAAATCGGATGAAAAATAACAAAGTTGATTTCTGAGGGGGGGCCTTAAGACAACAATTTTGTGATTTGATATCAACTAACAGAATGCAAAATGGAAGTCATAACGCGCTTGATGTCTCGAAAATTATAAAAGTTAAACGTTTTTTTTAAAGAAACTAGGAATAGAAATATAGATCATAGAGATCATCAATAATATTCGTTTCAGATAGTATTCAATAGATTTCAATTTGCTAAAATTAAGAATTATTCTTGTGTTCTAAAAGTTCTATTAAACTCTTGAAGATAATAGTAGAAGGACTAAGTGATGAGACGGTCTGTTTCATATTGTGATTTTAACTTCTACTTGACCGTCCATTCTCTAACATGTACCTCTCTCTCTCTCATCTTAAACTTGCTTTGTTTTGTACTCTTATCGTTCTTTTTGTATATTATTGCTAGATGTATGATTGATCTATCGAAATCTAATTGAGAAGATTGAAATATTGCAGTAGATATTTTGCTTTAGTATATTAAATCTCTTTTCTTGTTTATTTAGATTGATGACGTATGTTCTTTTTTTGAACATGTTCTTCAAAAAAATTGTTATGCATCCATAATCAAAGAACATTTAATCGATGGAATAGCTCTTGTTCTACTACAAGACGAACATCTTAGTAGTATTTTTAAAATGCAATTAGGACCTCGTTTAAAATTACTAAATAGTATTAATAAACTTAAAAATGGTGATCTTCCTTCATCATAATTCAATTTATTTTCAACAACAACAAAAAAAACGATCATTATTTTCTTTATTGAACAGTAGAAGATAAAATATGATTCCTGTAATAAATATGTCAAAACGAATAATTATATTCAAACATTCTTTAAATAAAGTATTCAGATGAACAAGCATCTTAGAGGACAAATAATATTTGTTATTATCAAATGAGTCATCTTATGACTTTCAAAAATAGAAAAATTATACCTAGCTGTACAAAATTTTCTTTTCTATATTCATAAATGTTTACAAAAATCTGAATGATAATTGTATTAAATTGTGGCTTCGATCGACCTGCATATGAGATAAACATTGTACGTTTTTCATCTTGTACACTCGAACTCTTCTTCTAGCATGAAACAGATTGATCATTCTATGATAATATGATTGCAAAATGCTTAGCGAAGATTTTATAGATCAATCAGAATTCATTAGTATTGCATACTAATTAGAGGTTTTAAAATTACTTTTCCGTGTTGATTTGATCTATATTGATGTGTTTGTTTCATCAAGAGTAGAAACTTTTTTCTATTTCTATCGGAATCTATCGCGATAAATACGAATGAATATTATTAATATAACACTATTTATCGAAAACTAACTGCTAGCTTCGTGAGTTGTTCTTTCTATTTATATCTACTTGAATGGTTTCATTCCTTAAGTAGTAGACTACAACATAAAGGATATGCTATCATAATTTTATAATTTTATTCATATATCATTGAAAGAAATAACAATTCTTCATGAACAGCGTTAAGTTTACAACGGAACTAATATTAACAAGTTAAAACTCGTGCATTCAAAATCACTCGAGTTCTTTACTGTTTGTTTTTCTTTCAACTTTGGTTCACGACTGTCCATTTATTTTTTTTTGTTTGATTTAGATTCAGACTATGAATCAATAGGTCTATTATTTGGGGTACATGATCGCTGATACATTGTTTATCAATATGACCAGCATGTGTGAGTTTCTTATCTTCTTTGAAGCGCTCATTTTTTTGGAGAACCTTTATCAAAAAATAAAAAAGGAGCAAAGAGTTGAAAAATATTACATTACTTCGCATTGTCCATACATTTTCATTTATTTCACCAAGTTCTATCTTATTTCTTGCTTTGATATTGAGGACATAGGGTCAAATATTTCTCCTTCAATACTCAATAGAGCCTTTCTGGTTGGCGCTGGATTCCGTCCCAAAAATTTTTGATCTGATGGACTGTAATATTCAATGAAATTTTATTTTTTAATTTGTTGATATTTTGAGTTGAGAACCTTTATAGAAATTATTGTTCCATAGTTCATCATACGTGCTGGTTCTATAGCTTCGCTTCAGTAATACAATATGAATGTATAAGTGGTTAATACAAGACAAGAGTGATCTATTTATATTTATCCAAAGCAAGAACAACCGCAATTTCCTAAGTTCACTTCTTTACTCAAAACCGAAAGGTTATAATCAAAGCATGAAGTTTATAATCTTTTCATAGAACATAAAAACACTTGAAAAAAAACAATCTACTTTTATCCAAGGTCTTTTTTCTGCAAACAGCGTTTATAGAATGTTTCGAAAAATAGAAGTATGGCTCATCTTGCGAACATAAAACAAATATTAAATATAATTTAACTACCGTTATTGCTATTAATTGAAAAACATGCGAACTCACCCATCGTATCATTGTTTTAGATCAATCATATGACTTGTATACCAAGACGCATTTGAATTTCGCTGACACATATTTGTAGTCCTTAACTTTGTCCATGATCAAAAATGGTTTCGAATATAGAAAGTCTGAAAATAAAACTGACCTAAAAAGATTTTCCTATTGAAATAAAATCCTTCCATAATAATCTATTAAATTTAAATATCACACAAAATCAGTATTGTATGACAACTAATAAAATTCAACTTCTTTCATATCATTATTTGTCAAAGCAAATTTTACAACTCATCAACAATTTGTTTCTTTGATAAATATAAGATTTTTATCATAAAAAACGAATGAAAATCTTGAAAAATCGATCAGATCTTTAGGAACTTCATATTCCAGACTTTCTCTTTCATACATGAACTTTTCTAAAAAAAGAAAATTTATGTTTTTTTTTTCGTAGAAAACAGCAATGAAAGTTCTTCTTAACGAATGGAATATATTTTTCTTTTGGACGATGAATTATTGAAATTATAAACATAATAAAAAGAACGAAAAACTTGAATTCATGTTTTATACTGTTTTATTATTTTTTCTCATACACGACAATTCACAGAACACACATTTCGTTTTTCTAAACCATTGACTGATAAACAAATATAACAAGAAGAATGAAAAAAACGTATGACGACAGTTTTACACTAGATATAACAATGAACACATATATAACACGCTCTTATTTAAAAAACGCGCTAATACATTCGTGCGTGTGTCTGTGTTATACAAAAAGAGCATTGACTTATTTAGTTTGTTCATTTGCTACATTTGATTTGGCTTTTTCATCATCGGTTTTTGGTACATCCTCAAGATCCGGCATTGGTTCATCGTCACTATCTGTTCCTTCATCATCAAGATCGTTGAGATCAGCACCTGATGCACCTCCTAAACCAACACCACCGCCACCACCACCACCACCAGCACCCATTTGTTTAAACATGCCATCTAAAACAGAATAATTAATAAAAAAAACAACATTTTTTTTGAAAATCTATTTACCTAAATCACCCCAATCTTTACCACCAGTGCCATTCATTTCATCATCATCGTCACCTGATTATTTAAAAAAAAGGAATCTTTTTTTTTCGTCCTCTTTTCGATGTCATATTTACCTTCAGCTGTAAAATGATTCCAGTCGACAGCAATCCATGAACACTACAAAAAAAAAACAACAAAAATACAAAATACAAAATAAATTGTTTATTACTTTTTCAGCAGATTTAATTAATCGTTTCCAAAATGGTCTTGTTGAATCTTTCTTTTTCAACATAAATTCCCAATGATTTTGACTTGTTTTACGATATTTTGATGTCTAAAAAAATATATAAAACAATGATTTTATTTGCTGAAGTACAGCGCAATTTCGTAAAATTTGTGAAACCATCTGTAATAAAAAAAACTTACTCTACTTAAAAGATAATAAACCACCTCAGGTAATGCTTTACTTTAGATTCATTCACTTAAATGAACTCAATGCAAAGTAGATTAAAACATTGGACGAATTTTTATGTAACAAAAATTTACAGTCTTTTAAATTTTATTTGTTGTACATTCAAGAAAATATTTACTTCTCACACAACCATATATCTAGAGAGCGGATATGAAGTTTAATCTTCTGTCTTTCTGAAGATGTTTAATCTCCACCCCTCAAACGTCAATCATGAATCGGATGCAGTTTTCAGTCCTATACCATAATGTTTTCGGTAGATATTCAACAAATAAGTGTCAAAAAAGGTTCATTTAGCAATCCTAAGTTCTTTGTAAGCTTTAATTATATTTGTCTCATTTGCTTTTTGTTTGCAAGCACATATCAAGTTGTAGGTCATGACGTTGTCCTTTCTTTTAATAAGGAGAGTAAAAAATTATATCTCGAAAAATGGCGCCCTAATTATAAGAGCACATTTTTATATAATAGTATTAAAACTGAACTCAACGAAAGCGATTGTATCACGTTCTGCATCTTGACATGATCTTTTAAGCAGAAAAAAACTGCGACAAAAACTACAATGATTTTCCTTTGAGAATTTTGTGACGCACTGTCAACAAAGCATATTTTTCAAGCAGGTGATGAGAAAAATCATCCAAAATTTTCGCAAACAAAAAAAGACATACTGCAACAATGTTTGTTTAGATTTCCTCTTTCGGGAAGGTGATTTTAACCTAAGAAAGGACAAACAATTATTTTTAGGAACATAAACACAGCATATGTGTTACACCACCGACCAACTCTCGGACAATCTTAGCCTACATTTATCTTATTTTTGATGATTGACTTTTCTTCTTTCTGCGAAGGCGGGAGTTGAATATTTGACGAGAGCAACTTTCAAATAGTTTACATAAGCTGAAAATGACTTTCTTTTGTCTCTATAATCTATCTTCAATAGGATTTTAGGATACATGTTGCTTCTTTTTTACAATATGAACAGAACAAACTTACTGTTGGATCTATTTCATCAAAAAATTCCAAAATTGTATCATAACTTAATCCTTTTGTTTGTTGGCCTCTGAAATCCAAAGAAAAAAAAAAGGACAGTTGTTTATTCAATGAAATAAACATGTTCCTACTTAAAATGAAGTTTCGTTGGTTCAATATTTATTTCCGGCTTATCAATATCTTGTACAGCTATTGTTAATAAAATATGATCCTTTTTTTGACCCCATTTTATCGATGGATGAGTATTAGTCCTATAAATTAAAACTTTATCACATCATTACTAGATAAAAAATTGCATACATATTTAGTGTTTAATTCAATTTGTGTAGATAAAATCTCGACTGTGACAATGACCTGGTATATCACTTGATAGCACAAAATGAACTAAAGAGAAAAATAAACAATGTAGAATAAGAAAAAAATGCCAATGATTTTGTTTCGTGACGCCCTCTATCTCTGACCTCCTTGATGTAAATGATATACTACACTGAATCAGAAAGACCTATTAATGTTAATGTTGTGAATGTTGTGCTATCTCTGACGAAAAAAAATGTAACTAGAATCACCAATTGACAACATGATGCACTATCAGTGGCGACACCTAGTTCAAATCGTCATATCAGAAATAAATATATAATGAAAATAGCATATTTCAGGTGCTCTACAAAACTATATATTTTATTGTTGTCTAAAATGATAATTATGATAGCCTCCTTGTGAGTAACATCTATGAGATGTCGCAAGGTAAACTCTAGTATTAAGATTCATCAGAAAGGTTTGATGCTCGAAGAACTCTCATCTCAGATGGAGGGAATATCATGAAAAAGATAAGCTTCTAAAAATGAGTTTCATTCTAACTGCATAAATGAATTCGGATTTGGAATCTATAGTCGAAGCGATGATTCATACGTCTATGATTACAGACTATATATTATTTTAAAATAAACCAACCGATAATCGTTTGAATCTATTCTTTAAAAATTTCTTCTAGATAACATTCTAAAATGGCTTTTCGTAATCTTACAAGAAGTTTATTTCAATTTACTAAACTTACGAATGTAAATCAACGTTTATATTCTTCAATTCAACGAAAGTCATGTCATATAACTCAACGTTATGTACCAATACGAACATTTTCATCAGTACAAACAAATGATAATGCCTATCGTGATTTAGATACATTTCTTCAAAAAGAAATTCAATTAGAAAAAAGTGCACAAAAACATCCAAGCAAATTACCAATCATTCCTAATTTTCAGGTTGAATTTTATTTTTACTTTTATTTCTTTAAATATTTTCATTTTTTTTTTTCAGGTTCAAACAAACGGTCCAGAAGTAACATTAAGTCGTGATATCGGTAATGAAAAAATTGTTGTGAAATTTAATGTAACAAATACAGTCAATGCAAGTGATTCAGAACAAGAATCAGATTTACAATCAACAGGACAAGAACAACAAATAACTAATTCATCATCACAATTAAAATCTCGACCAACATTTACAGTTGATATAAATCGTGGTGGACAAACATTATCATTTCTTTGTTCATATTTACCAAATGATTATCCAGATTCACGAGAACATAATCATGCAACAGAAAATGATCAAAAACAGAATCATAATCAAGAAAATATTTATGAAGATTTTCAAATAGATGAATTTACTATACATGATGGAGAATGGAATGAAACTGTTTATAGTTCAGATTGTTCAGTTATTGATGGAGAACTTTATGATAAATTACTTAATTTACTTGAAGAACATAGCATTGGCGAAGGTTTGTTTAATATCAAAGTTTTATTTTAATTGAAAATTATTTTCAACAGAAAACTCTATACAAAACACTATCATACTATTGAAGAGACAAGGAGTGAATCGAAAGTATCAAGATAAAATATATGACTATTTTTTCGCGTATTTAATTTTATTGGTAGTACATTAAAAACTTGTTCGAGATATGCTACAAAATTTTATTGGATATATTGAAAAATACAGATAATCGTTGTCTACAAAGCGATAAGTTTTTTGCAAACTGTTGAGGTGTAGTAAAGACTTTTATGAAGTCTATCGCGAGAATAAAGACTATTTTACTCATTGTTTAGAAGATTAACTAAAATTCATTCATTCTTGTGTTATTTTTACAGAGTAGAAATCGTTCTCAAGTACAATGTATTTATAGAACTTATTCGATGTACACTGGCCATCAAAAAATTATTTTTTTGAGTTTTATCAATATTTATTGATAGCTCAAAAGTCTCAGAAAAAAATTCGAAACATATATTCGAAACTTTCGGCTCACTCCTTATATGTAAAATAAGAAACTAGTTTTTGTTTTGCAGGCTAAAAAAACTTGATAAATAAATACTTCGTATACATAATTTTAGTGATGTTTTGATACTTGAATTTTTTACTTTGAATATCTTTATTTAATGGTTCTATACAATACAATATGGAATCAATGATATAAAATTAAAAAGACATCTTAATATAGTTTTTGTAACATCTGTTATAAATAGAACCATTACATAAATGTATTCAAAGAAGAACAGAAATATCAGTGTGATTATATACATTAACTATTTATTGATTAAGACCTTTGGCTGTAAAAAAAAAAAAGGGTCTGCGTCTTTTATTTTATTACGTAAATGCCGGTAAAATAATGATATTCTAAATCATTTCCAATTTGTGTCTATTCAAACTATTTGTTTCAATATAGTCTTATATAATTTTAAAGCAGATAGTAAGGTTTTAGATGAGTGAGTTTTGTATCGTTTCCGAAGTTTCTTCTGACTTAAGATTGATCTATCACTTCCTCGTCAGTTATTGTTTAACTGAATTAAGTAAATATAAATGCAGAAAAATTCTTTTCTTTATATTTCTTACTTTAAAAATTATGTATCAACTCTTTATTCTTGATATTTTTGAGTACTTATTCACACATATAGAAAAGATCTGAAAATGAAGATATTTATGATCGAATCCTTTTTTTTTAAACATATCCTGAGAGCAGAAATTAAATTGATCAATTAATATGATCTAATTCATGATGCCTATTTATCTCATAGAAGAATTTTTTTATTATGAAGCGTAATAAGAAATAATGTAGGCAAGTGAAAAGAACAATAAAACATAAACGAAATTAATTAGTCGTGACAAATTACAATGCACTCAATGTACGATAAAGCCAGGTATATTTACAGGTATAATAAAGCAAACAATTATGGTTACTTTTAAAAGTCTTCGAGTAATGCTAATATTGAGTCTTAAAACAAATGATACTGTTCATATCTATATGCATTTTGAATCATTCACTTTAGAATTTTAATAAGAAATTTTTGGAATTTTTCTTTCTAATTATCTATATTCATATGTACTTTTAGAATTTGCCAATCAACTTGCTGATTTTTCAACTGCTTATGAACATCGTCAATATATTGGTTTACTTGAAAAATTACAACAATTTGTGAAGAAATAGTTTAGAACATTAGATTAGTTTCGTTCTAGTCGTTGTTCTCTAAATAAAAATAAAGATCAAACAACATGATTTGTCATCATCATCATGTGAAACTATGATAATAAAAACTTGAATTTCGTTTTTTTTTCTACATCTAACATCATATCAAGGATCAGTTTTGTTATTTATATTCGATATCTTTGTTGAGCTATTTCGACAATATAAACATTAGCTGCCCTTAATTCAGCTATTATTCACGAGTAGGAATCTACAACACTTCCTTTTACAGAACAAGTCTTAATTAAAACTTCTTTGCTGATAACGATCTTGATTAAAATTTTTTGTTTATTATTTCATTCTCAACAATTATCAAAGTTTCTTCTTTCAAATATCGATAAGTTCATCAACACAACTAAAGCATTCATACTAGATATTGTAAAGCAAAGTAAAAAAAAAAAGTCTATGATTTTAGAAATAGTGAAACTATTATCGAATCAAATTGATGTATATTGTGTTTCATAAATTCAAAAGCCTATAGAAGTTATCAAAAAATTCTATTTCTTGTGAATCGTATTGTCAATTACCAAAGACTTTCATACGCATGCCAAATAAAAACCGTCGATTTTTGAACTCTTTGTCAAAACACAATAATAAGTATGAAAAGAAAATAAATAATTCTTGATAAAAATTTTTACCGAGACCAACTTGAAAAATAGGAACGCTGATCTCAGTAAAAAAATGACATTTTGGTTTTAGAACCATCTTAAAGATGTCTATTTATAATCGAGAGACCTCCTCAGTTTAGTAAAATATTATCTAGTTTACAACAAAATATGACACGTTACAAAGCTATTTCCTAAACTGAAAAACTCTACGGTCTAGAAATGCGAATTCACTAGTTTTCTGTCTAGACCATAAATGCACAGAGGATATCAAAGACGATGATTTTTTTTCTAGTTGAACATCTCTCAACAGCAATCAATTTTCGATATCTGCTCGGACCGTCTAAAGGAATAAATATTTATTTCCATGCTCAACTCGAACAGCTCCTTCTTTTAACTGATTACCGTGATCTACTACTCTTTATGCTCGTATATCATTCATAGAAATTCAATAATTCATTATATATCGATATGCAATCAAAATACTTTTTTTTTCATGCATTGTATTCAATTATTGCTTGAGATTGAAAATCAAGTTTTGAATGCACTGTTAAAGAACACTAGTGAACAGAGTTACAAGAATTCAACGATAAAAGAATTTGACAATATTCTCTTGAAAAATCAATACACTTGCACCTTTAAACTGAACTCTGTTAGCCAAGTGCAGCATGTTCAAAAACGATTTTTTCTTTGTAAACATTAAAGCCAAATTTTATATAACGGAAAAAACTTGTTTTGTGAAGCGACTTGTAATCAAATGACAAGTCATCTTTTGTATTTTTTCTAGTATTTTACTTAATATACGTTTATATCTAGATTTACCGATATACGTATCTCTATCATGTCAATCTAACGTCAAGTTAATCGAGTTTCAATGAATATTACTTATCTATTTACAGTTGGACACAGCAATTATTATTTAGTACAAAGAAAAAAGCAGTATTAATATGGATGCATGAACAACACATGTAATTACTTAAAAATAAAATTATTGTGATGATTTAGTACTTATTGTTTCATTTCAAAAAAGTTCATAGGCCATCATTAAATTAAAAATCGATCAAATAGTTTCAACTGAATAACTCTCATGTATATGTCACGGCGAATGAAACATTGATTTATTCGTTTTGCCTCACATATGTCGATATTGTTTTTTGTTTTCTTGTAAATAATCTATTTATTTATCTAAATTTTCATTTTACTGAATAAAACATCTACTGTTTTATCTTTGTGTTCCATAATAAATATATTTACAGCTTCAATTTGCAAGGTTTAAAGAAGCACTCAAATCTAAGCCTTAAAAAGCCAACAAATTTTGAAAATACTTTAAATTTATAAAAAAATATATTTTTACTTGTACAAAACTTTGTAAGGTCTAATTAGTTCTAAACATTAATCAATAAAACGTGCAGTAGTGTTAAAAATAGAATCATAGATAGTTTAAATAGAAGTGCAACAAATATAAAACGAAATCAAGCTATTTTGATGAATATTCTGAAGATTTTGTTTAATCATCTATTGTTAATAATATAACCAATTAAACAATACAAGCAATGAGCTTCAAATATTAATAAAATTTAAAAAAATGCAAATAAATTAATAGGATCTTGAAAAAATTAATTTTCATATTTTTTCATCATAATTTCTTTCAATAGAATACTCTTATTATTATATATTCGATTAAATTTACGTTTATTATTATGATGATAGATTTCAATATTCTCAAAATATGATCTAAAAAGAAAAAAATAGATTTTTAGATGAATTTGCACGAAAAAAGAGCAACGAAAATTGTTACAACTATCATTCAACAGATCTAGACGAAAAGAAAATATTTAAATTAATTGATATAAATCAAATAGGACTATGAATTAATCAGTTTTTCAATATACAGTTCGAATGAAAGAATATATAAAAGTAAGAAGTCATGATAAAAATCATCACACACACAATATTTAATTTTTATTAAAGCAAAAAAGGAAACTGAACAACTTTAACTCTACTAGCAGCAATTTGAACCCTTTTGTACGCTATATACCAACAATTTTTTGATCATTAAAAACCTCGCCATTTTACAAATTAATATTGATATATGGTGTGTTAGCATGACCTAAAATTTATTTGAATGCATTTATTTATAAAGTAATAAAAATTCTACTGAATTCATTCATGTAGTATGTTTGATAGGCTTATACAATACTGCTTGCAAAATAAAGTGACCTGAATTTAGGATATCAGCGTTGAAAGACAATAATAATCATTAAATGAAAGATATACTATTAAATATTTTGAAATCGTTCTTTTATTTATAAATGAATGTCATAACTAATAGTATCATATTACTTGTAGAAGAAAGAATTAGGTTGATTTATTATTTTTAATCAACCATCGATTTTATGTTCGATATTTAAAATGTGATTGATGTCTGTATCTTTTCATTTATCATCATTCATCTCTCCTAAGTCTTCTATTTCATGATTATTTAAATTGAATAAGAGATATCATTGAATATGACATATTTATTCTAATTAAATAAAAGAGACATATGACATTGAGAAAAAAAGATTTCATAAAACATGCTTTGTAAACAGTTTAATTGTTCTTTTTTTGTATATTATAGTTATCTTTATGAACATTTATTTGTATTCCTTTACATATCTTCTTCATTTGGTATGGCTTATTACTCAAGAACGTGTTTTTATTGGTGAATCAAGACCAATTCAATATTCAAAACAAAATTCATAATTTAAAACTTCATTCATCAATACTAGTATCACTAGTTAGACTATTATCAAAAGGAGGTTTATAATCGAAACCAATAAGTAGATTCACTAGAATAACAAATGTTATCATCTCTTCTAATAATATATTCACAAGGGCATAGTCCTACACTTTTAGATACCAATTTCTAAATCAATATATGAAGGCAACGACTATGTAGAACATTATTGTTGGAAAGCATTATTATCTTTGTACATAAGTTGTTTTTGTTTTTTTGTTAATAATAACATTTGTTGAACATCATTGCTGTATTATTGCAGTTGAATGTATCTAATAAGGCATATTAATGGTAAACTTTGAATCGATAAAAATATCAGTTGAAAAGCCATATTCAGATTTAATCCTATAGATAATGTTTAATTTTGAGTATTACTATGATAAGATTGCGTACTAGAGTCGATTTAATGGATGAGAGTCACTCTGGTGATAGAACAATAGGCACTTTTGTAAATAATTGATTCATTACTATTACTTGGAAATAAATATTAGGAGGAGTTCAATGATCCGTAAATTACCGTTAATTATTCCGTTAATTTTCAAGATAATTAAATGATTTTAGTATTATTCGATTCAACAGATATGTTTCTGCTCAATAATATAAAAAAATTATGAGTTGCTTTGAAAATTGTTTGAAATAAAAGAGAAATCTTCACATCGTTGAAGAAGCTGTTTGAATTAGAAACATTGCTTGTACCAATTCATTTTAAGTCTCATACCATCACTAACCACTACCTGTATTTATTTTATAAATCTAGAAAAAAATATACCATAAATGAAAAGAAACTTATAATAACTATTAGTAACAAATTTAGGATTGGAGAACTAGTTTGTTTTCTATAACTCAGACAATAGACTGTAGTAGACATCCACACGATGTTTTTGTACTAATGAGTTTAAAATTTCAACAATCTCATCATTTGAACACAAAAGGCTTAACAAATGCATGGCAAAATCTTATGATTCTTGATTAAATAATTTTTCTATGTACATAACAGCTTGTTTATGGAATTAATATTCGCCGTGTTGATGAGAGAAGTGACGAGAGTGTTGCTGCATACTTGTAACAACGTTCTTCAAAAGTTACGTAGTCGAAAGAAACGATTGGACGAGCAAGTGTTCGATCAACCAATATATATTTATGAACATGGCATGTTGTGCCCATTTTGAAGAAAAATTTAGATTTATTTAACATCAGTTTGCCCTTGGACTAATGAAAATTTGACTGTCTAAAGCAATGAGTCCGAAATTATTTATGCTCATTATAGATAATATACGATTTTATGTTAACATCTGATATGGGTTAGAATTAAATTTTGTGTTTTCTTATGCAACACAAAGAAATTCGATCGCATAGAATGTAAAACGGAGAAAAACAAACTGATTAAGGATTACGTATATAGTGACAGCAAATAAATGCTTATTTTTTCCAGTAAGATCGTATTTCTTCTGTCTTATACAGAGAAACACGATGGTTTAGAACAAAACAATCGCTCAGGTAAAATAATTAGACAAAACATAAGAGAATTATATTTTTTTCATTATCGTAACAATCTTAGTAGATGCTTATAATAAGATTTTATATAAGCCTTCTTAGAGTCGACAATTATTCGGATCTTTTCGTCTGTTCTAGATAGATTGTAAAAAAAATCAGTGAATAAATCATAAAAGACTTTGCTGTTCGGTCTTTGGTCCTGAATGTACGAAAAGATAGATTATAAAAAACCGATATCATTCATTCATACTGAATCATGTAAAACCCTGAGCTTCTTGTTTTTCTACGATTGTTCACAATCATATCTGCTCGACTTCAAGATCAAAGCCGCTAATGGTAGCAGATGATATTAGAAGAGAAGATCAATGTATGGAGCTGTTTTTGATAAAAACAATATATTTTCAGGTGTTTATGTCGTAAATTCATATAAATACATGAACAACACAGTACGAGTATATATAAACCTTTGAATGTAAGTTAAAATATTTTCTTTGCAGATTTTACTAATTGTATTATTTTTTTCCTTTAATAAACATTGATTCATTTGAGAAAATATAAAATTTGTTAAGCAATAGCTATAATCATTGTTTCATACAATAAAAATGTAGCATACAAAGTCATATATCTGCATTCATATGAAGAAAAATAAAGTTTGTTTGCTGTTTCTAGATGTAAAATTATGTCAATGATCAGTTTTATGTTTTGTGCTTTCTTTATTATCTCAACAATATCAGCGATACCTACACCAGGTATTGTTTTGTCAGCGGTTATTCGGAACACACAGAATACACCTGTTCAATGCACTATTCATTGGGCGATAGACAATGATCCAACATCGAATCACCATATTATTACAGTTGAAAGCAATAAATATAAAGTTGTCTTTGAAAAAAACATTAATAGTAGTGAATTCATAGCAGGTGCATTTATCCAAGAAATTCATTGTGGTGACTTAGTGCTTAATGCTCCATTTACAAGAGTCCTTGCAGTAGAAAGACTTTGGGAATTTCGTATTGAATCAGATCGAATAGTTTCGGTTGGACGGAGTTCATATTTATCTTAAAATAGTTCAAAGATCAACTTATTCTTTTTATATTGAAAAGCATGATCTTTTGTTCTCCTCGGGAATAATCAAACAATTTCTTTGAGATTTTTGTGTTTTCTAAATAAATATCTAATGTTTTATTCATACAGCACAGGATCAAACTTTTTTTACAACATGAATCTGTTGAAATTCATGAAAACCATAACAAATATAAATATTTCGAGAAAGACTGGTAATCATAGAGAAAATGAGAGGAACAATTTTGATGATAACTACAAACATGCGAGGTCGTAATAATGTTGCTGTCTAACAATGTATCACAGGTTTTTCTTCTCTCTAAGATTTTTCCCTGTTTGGATACAGGAATCTTAAAACTCGAATAAAACTGCCTGATGAGGATGTCTGGAAAATTACGACGTCCAAAGTAAGTTTTTCAGCATCCTTTCGAAACTGTTGGAAATGATTGTACTCTATAGAACAAATAGTTCTAAGTGAATTAAGACGTCTTAGCTCTGTTCATGACATTCATTCATCGAGCTACATTGGATGTCTAGAAGGTACCGAAGCGTCCAAAACGGCGAAATCATGGAAATGTATTAAAAAAAATAAAAGGAAAATGCTTTTTGGGTCTTCTGTAAATCGAATACAGTTCGATGAAGGAATGTCATGGACAGAACCGAGATATCTAATTTTGCTCAGTATCATTTGCTGTCTCCTATAAAACTATCTCCAAAAATTTCAAATGCTTGCCAGAATACTAGTTTCAGAGGTCCTAGTTTTCCGGAATCTCTCATTCAAGCAATTTTATTGGAGTTTTTAGATTTACGCATTCTGATAGAGAATGCTTTGAGCTACTCAAATGTTTTTGTCAGATTTGTCCTAGCTATTACCATACGAAAGAAAACTCAAAAACACAACTGCTCTAAACTTTTGTCCACGACGATGCACGCATAAAAGTAAATGCTTATTTATTTTTCTCGTCATACTGTAAGACAACATTATCAGATATTTGTCCATAATAATACACTGCTTAGTTTATATTCATTTTTAGAGTCATCTAATCATCTTACTGATTAGTCTATTATACATAGTTTTCATTTAAGAATAATTACAATATTTCTTGAGTAGTATCTGTAGTCGTTGTTAATACATTAAAATGCAACAAACGAAAACGTCTATCGTCAACTATTACAATGAAAGAAATCGTATTTTTTTTCTAGGCAGAAAATTATATCCACCGTTGTTTTTATTTAATTAATTTCGATTTGATGTGCACTGACTGTTATTTATCTGGCTGTTAGTAGTTAAAGACATTTCAAAATGTTTCACAGTCACCGACAAACTCAGAATTTTGTATTAAATCAAATATTGCAGTTTCAATTGAAAGAAATTTATAAAATGATCTAAGTTAGTTTTTTTCTCAAATCATATAACCAGTTTTTCTTCATCTAGTTATAGTATTTGTTTTTTTTCTATATTAAAGAACCGAATTGTTTGTATTTTCATCATGTTTCAAATTCATACTGGTAATTATAATACATGAATAACTCAGATTGAATCATCAAGTACTTTTAAATCTAAAGCAAACTGAGAAATATAAATGGCGGATTTAGTATGAATAATGCGAAACTTTTCATACTGATAAGATATGCTACTTCAAAACAAAGCAGATAAGGGTAAAAGAAACGACTACTTGCACATACTATTTTACTCGAATTATTGGAAATTGTTCTGTTAATAATAGAAGTTCAGTGAATCAATATTATTTGTAAGTCATCAATAAATTTTCAATATATTATTAAATAAATATTCGACGGCGAAACAGTGTAACAAAACTTTTAAAGTGAGTTTTTTTTGCGTATGTTCTATTTTATTGTAATACTCGTAAGTGCTTGTAGGAAACATAATGATACATCAAAAGATAAGAACGAAAACACAGAACAAGACAAGAAAATAGTGAAGAAACATTGTGAAAGAAACCGGTTCCACAAAAACGACAGAGCTAGGAAGAAAGATCACAAGGCCATACACCTAGTCTACACTAAACGGTTAGACTATTTTCGAAAGAATAGGACTATGGGGGTAAGGTATGACTGTGCGGAAGTTAATTAATTCTAAACATTGAAGTCTTCTCCTTCATTAGCAGTTACTTATGTAACATCTATTTTCTCATTTGTCATACGTGGATAAATGTATATCATAACGTATAGAATGATTTAAAACAAACTTGATTTACGAATTGAGACGATTTTCAATTCCTATTGAACTATGTCATAGACATGTTTATCACCAAATCTTTTTTAGTCCCGCTCTCGATCTTGGTCGTAACTTATAGAAACCTTTTTCAACATTAATATACATTAAATCTAAAATCTCAAACACGTGTGTTTCGGTTAATTTGACCAACGAATATAAGTTTTTTTTATCATCTATCTTGACAATTGCTTTGATTGACGCGATCTATAAGATAATTCACTAAAAATTATAGGCGATATTCTACTATAATTTTCAGATCCAGGTCGAACGACTTTGTTCTCATAGTCCAAAATTCGATTTGGACTCGTTACATTTTTATTTTTTGACCCTGAGTCGAGGATAAAACTGACCCCAAACAACTCTCCTTTGTACCCTTTTAAAACTAAAGAAGAATTCTCAAAAGATAAGATTTTTTTACTTTTTTTTTATAACTAAACATATTATTCTTGCTTTGATGAAGAAAAACTCAGGTATGGAACATGGTTTGACTAATCGAGTTTAGGTGTCAATATATATTCTTTATCTTAGATAGAAAGGCAACGTTCTTATCTCTTTGTATATTTAAGCCAATGCAAGCTACATTTTCTTTCTATTACTCGGCTTTCTTACTTCAGTTACAAATTAGTTTTTTATTCTTCATTTCATCTATACTTTATCTGTTGTGAAAAATAATTATGGCATCACAAATGTGTGGACTCAAGGCTCCTAGCCATGTTTATGCAGGAACATTAAAAAATTCAAGTGATAATGATGTTACTGTTGAAGTCGAATATGCTGGTTCGGATGCTAGTCATAGTGAAACAGTTCATGTAACTGTACCTAAAGGAGGTTCACAAACAATTGAAGAAAAATCTGTTCAAGTTGGTGACAATGAACAACGTAAAGTTATTCAAAAATTAACTGTTAAATCACAAGATGGTACAACAAAAGAATTATCAGCTCCATTCGCAGGTGTTACATCACCAAAACAACATTGGCATTTTGAAGTTGATCAAGATGGTTCACTCAAATCAGTAGCATAATCAAATTCAAGCTAGGATATTTCATATTAAAATAAGTATTCCATCATTTAGAAAAAAAAGAAATTGTTCTGATTTGTTTGATATTGAAAAATAAATAAATACATAACGAAAACAATAAATTTTTATTTATGATTCATTCTAGCATATACAGAACAAATGTTTTCATCAAAACGATGATGATTTACAACATAAAGAATATTTTCAACTATTTTCATTCCACCTTGAACATCAGGTTCAATAGAATTTGCATAATCATTTGGATCATTGAATATTGTTTTTAAATCGATTACTGGAATGCCATGCTAAAAACAAACAATGAGTTCATAATAGAAATGAGGTTTTTTTTTCTATACTTTAGCTGATTCTGTAATAATGATATCATTCAAGGCTGATAAACCTGTTTCACACATTGTTTGTTGCTGTGAATTATCAAAACGTGGATTATAAATAGTACATGTTGTTACAGGAAGTTTTAATTTAGTAACTTTTTGTAACATATCGACATAATCCTACGAAAAAATAATAATTATTGGAATGAAATAATAGATATGTTTATATTTTCTGTTACTTTTTCGAATTTCTTTTTTATTTTACTAAGTACTAACAATGCTTCACCAACATTTCTAACTGACTCATTTAAATGATGCATATAAGAAAGTGCATTATTTCCACTTAAAAATAAATAAATCAATTTATTTTTAATATTAAATTAAAGAAAATGAATTTTACCAGTTGAAATAAATAAATGAGTAGCATCACAAGGAACATGTTTAATTTGATCAGCAATATGTGAAAGAACATTTCCATCGACAGCAAGTAATGTTGCATTCCAACCAAAATCTTTAACTTTTGTTTTAAGTTGATCGATTACAGCCGGTTGGTCTCGACCAACATATGAACGATTATCAAAAATACTATCACCAAGTAAAATTATGTTATGTATTGGAGACACCATTTGTTATGTTTAATACGTAAGGGTCAAATCAACTAGCTACTTATAGTTGAATAACTCACTTGATTGTGATTCAAAATTTGCCCTCAAACATCTTTTTTTTCTTCCTTCTTTCCCTTTTTATCGTTCTCATACAAAGATGAGTCATTGAAATCTCTCGTTCCTTCTATCAAATGAGACATATCAGGACTCTGAATGGATTGGAATAGACTTATCAAAGTCGAATTGTGAGTAAGCAAACGTCGACTCAGCCCACCAATGGATTTTCTTCAAAAAAACCCAGCCCATAGATCGTTCAACTAGCAAAAATTTTTCCTAACGCTAAATTAGCTTGTTATTCTGGTCAAAGTTATTCGTCATTATTAACATTCTTTTATTACATAAAGTTAACCAAACTTTTCTTGTAAAAAAGGAGAACAAGAAAAAAAGATATTTTGTTGAATACAAAAAAGATTTTTCGACATGAATAGGTAAATAAATTGGTATGAATAATTTGTTGACACAAAGCTTACATATCGACGCAAGAATGGCAAGTTTCGCGTGAATCAACCAAACTATTCTCATACTTATGTCAATCGAATTTGTCGATCATTTGTCGACATGTTCACATTCTTTTTTTCCGACAGTAAATTATTATTATTCGAACTTTATCTTTTTTTTTATTGTCAGTTATAAATTTATTCGCTCTTCACTATATTAATATCTGAATAAATGAAAAGATCAAAATGAGGTTTTTCGAAGCAAGAAATTTTGTGACCTATTCAAAACTCTGTTTGTGAACTATCATCAATCTATGAGCCAAAACTTGTAATATATATAGACAAAAACAAAAAAATCTGACGCTCATCAATTTTTTCTGATTCAAAATCGATTAAAATCGATCAAAGCATAATAGATTTGATTCTAATCTAATTTATCGATATTTACTAACTTTTGAATAAGTGTAACTTATGTTCGTAATTAAAAAAGAGAACAACGAGTTTTGCAATTATTACAGTTAAAACTAATGAAAATGTAAATAAACTATTTAAATTAGTTAAAAACTAAATTATCTGCTGCAAACAAAATGAAACAGTGCAATTTTAATCGGTTTTGAATCAGAAAAAATCGATTGAAATTTCATTATAGGAGAAAACTAAATGTTATATTTGATAGATCAATGCTGAATGTGTATACAAACGATATTTTCCCAAGGCTTTCCTGCGCCAACGCTTGAATAAATATACATATCGCTTATTTTCATGAAATTCATAATATACTTCGGTGATTCTGGCACTATATAGCTTTCTTGGAGGTAAAGGACCCGATTTCCGTATACTATTTTCCTGTATCAGTCAATCATAGTATATAATTACTTCAAAAGATGTCGCTCTACACTTTATTAGTAAAAATAAATATTCTCTGGAACGGAGAAAGATTTTCGCTTGATTTTTTTTTGAAAACTAATCTACTATATGAGCTGACAACAGAATAAAACTTTTCTGCCGAAAAGTTCACTTTTCCTTGAGTTATGATAATAACAAAATTTAAAAACTACTCTATATATAGTATGGAGATCATTTGTATTTGGTGTGAGATAATTGTATAAACGAATTATATGCAACAGATCTCTTTTATCTCATTTTCACATAGAATCAAGCTCGTTCAAAGCCAATGATTTTAATATCGCTCTACATAAAAATGAAGTGTCGTAACGTGTATGATTGATAGACTTCTATTCACAAAACTTCGTCTAAAGCTAAAACTAAAGAAGTATTCTGAAATTACTTGACTAGTCCTACAACTCTCGCTACAAAATCAATTTAAAAAATGATATTTTTCTAACAGATGACGTTGGAAACTAAGTGCTTGATACTTCTGCTATGATTTTTCGAAAACTAAAGCAGACGGAAACTTAATATTAGGCATTTTGCTTTCCGAAAGACAATAGTACAACGGTTGTGCTCTTCATTCATGTGTTTTCTTCATCACGACAAAGTATAAAAAAAGTATGATGGCATACCCTTTAAAGGTTTTTAAAAAAGAATGTTTATTTTTTATTAGTAAAAAAAACTAAATATAAATTTTAAGAGTCGTTTATCTGCAAAAGATCACTTAATGGTACTGAATGTTGTTTTAAAACAATTTCTTTATAGAATACATTATCTTCATTTGCTTGAATTATTCCTTTACCTATAAATATAAATAAATTAGTTTTGTTTTTTTTTCTCTGTTTAGTTTACATACCACTATGATGTTGTGACAGAGAACTTTTCTTTAATACATCAGCAGAAGGTTCTCGTGATTGTTGTTTGATACTACTACTTTTATTAGTTGCTGAATTTGCTGAACGTGCACGAGAATCAAATAATTTTATATACCAATCTTGAGCATTTGAATCAGGTCGAAGAGGTTTTCGTAAACATCGTTCAGCTAATGTTGGTTTAATATCAAATCTTTCTGGATTATCAATACGAGATTTTTCTCGATCTAATTTTGATTGATCAAGAATATTTGCGCTCTACACATATATTATTAAATAAAAATAATTTTTTTTTTTCCTATAAAAAAATAAACAAACAAACTCGTTTTGTTCGATAAGCATTTGATGGATCAGTAAGTAATTCCGTAGCTTTTAGATTATTTTTTAATGATTTTGATGTATGTGATCGTTCAAAATAATTTAAATTTTGTTGATAGAAGTGATCACTAAAATCATTAGGACGTTCACATGAAGGATCTATAAATGGTCTAAAAAATAAATTTTAACAATTTAAATAGAAAACAATTCTATTTATATTACAGTCGTGGACAAAATCTTCCTCCTCCTACCAGATCTCAACTACCATAAGGAACAACCTGCTTACTTCGATTGCTTTCAGACAACAGAAATTATGATGCATAGCATATATTTTTTTCTTTCAACTTTGTACTTCTGAAGAGCAGTGGTTTCACTAGTTAGTCATTCCTTCTCAATTATTCATGCTATTACTTTCATAGAATTCCATAAACTCTTGCCAGAATAGTCGCTAGTTTACTGTGAATATTCGAGAGGTGAAAAACTTTCTGATGTCCTTTGATAGACCGTAATTTAGTATTACTTTAATGAATCAATCTCAAACTTTTATGGAAGTCTTGCCTGTAGTTGAATATTATTGCCTATAAGTCTCAGAAAAAAATCTTTACCTAAAGGAAAATGACATGTCCATAGTCATCGTGTTGGTGCCGAACTCTCAAAGACAGCAACCTTACAGAAAGTTACCTGATATTTTGAATGATGAAAGACCATATACTGTGCTTGAGTTGCAAATAAAAATATCAAGAATTTGTCATGTGTTTGATAGAAAGTAACGCAAAATTTAATCGACAGCTTTTTCAGGTTAAAAAGCTTCGAATAAAAAAAAGGCGTTGTTCATCATAATTCTCGTTGCATTTAAACTATTGGGGCGACATCATGCCTCAAATCTGCATTCTTAATAGAATATCTGCATATAAATCTCCAAACCTCCTGTATATATGGAAGCTGAGATCTGCTGAGAAAGGGAATTGTTTTCTGCTAGTATATTTACTTTTGATTTGTTAATAATTCATATGTTTGTTCAAGTAATCGTTCAGCTCCACTATCTTTACCATGTATTGTTGCTTCAATAAAATCATTTGAAAGTGGAAGATTTTTCTTTGCTATAAATTGTTTAATAAGTGCCCAATTTGATAAACGAGAATTCAATGAACGACCATTGATAAAAGCAAACAAATTTATTTCATTAGGAAAATAAGCATGTAAAATTTCAGCATAAGCATAACCATTTGATAGATCCCTTGAAATAAAAATAAATATTCATTTCTATTAGGACTATCAATTGATAATATATTATTTAAAATAGAGATTCCGGCAAATTTGAATTAAAAGAATGTAAAGTGATGTATTTGTTTTTAAAGAAGAAAATTGAAGTGTTTGAACAAGAATATAACATACCATTTTGGTACAACTATAGGATATGTCAAGTAAAGGCTTTCGAGCCAACGAAGAATTTCACGAGCTGTTCGAGCAACCATGGTGAAGCAAAATTTTGTTTTCTTATGAAATAGATAAAGTGATTGTCTTCTCTTTCCTTAAACATGTTCGTTGCTAAGATACGACCTTCTTTTTTCCAATCAAAATCTATGATTGCATAGAAAAATACAAATTCTTAATAGATATAAATGTTAATTTTAAATAAATATATAAAAAATCTAAAAGAATATTTTAGTATTTAAATACTCAATATTTGATTGGTTAATTGTTTATCTATTTCTAGGTCTTATACCGCTAGTTTGTAAAAGTAAATCGTTTTGCGTAAAACATTTCAGATTTAAATCACGTATATAAAGATATAAAAAGTCAAAATAATCAACAACAACAAGAACAAATGTCATTAATAAATGGTAAAATTAATAATTTTATGAGAAAAACATTGTTAAATTTTTTTTTGTCAGATGAATCAAAAATGATTCCAATATCAATTCAAAGATCATCAACATTGGAAAATGATTTAAAACAAAATTCTATTAATCTAATAGTAAATGAATCGTATGATGAAAATGATTCCGAATATGAAGATGTGGAAAGTGAAGAAGAATCTAATGAAATAAAAAAAATATCCGTATTAACGTCTATTTCAAATAAAGATTCTTCTAAAGTATAAATTAGAACAATGTCATTTATGTTTTTGTTTTTTTGATTTGTTTTTAATCTTAGACATTTATGGATGAAGATGAATTACATCTAAAGGTTAAACCTCGACGTCTAAATAGAAAACGACAAGAAGACGAACATTCAGAAGGTTATGAAGATGATAATGATAATCAAAATGTACCGAATATCGTTCGTGATATGAAAAAATCTGATAAAAATAAGGAAATACTCGATGATGATAATAATACTCAAAGTCCGGCTTATATTCCACGTAAAGGAGAATTTTATGAACATGATGATCGAACATTGGATGAAAAAGATCGATCAAAACAGTAATCAGAAAATTTTTTAATTCTTTTCAATATAATTAATTTATTCGTTTTTGTTTTTTTTTTCAAGAGAAATATCAAAAAATGATAATCGATTATACAGAGATTCAGATGCTAAATGGCAACATGATCTGTATTTTCGAGATGAAAAATTATTAAAATTTCAATCTTCATCATATAAACAAGATCGTAATCATTTCGAGTAATTTTCATTGAACGGAGGAACTATCAGAATTGATACCAGCCATTTGAGCCCATATTAGATTCACAAGGAGATCTCAGTAAGGCCAACAAAATCCGTAAAATGTTTTGCCTATGAGTCTCATGAGTAGAGTTATGACTGTTCTACTGAATTTTCAATCTAGCTTATGCTATATACCGAAAAATCAAATAATCATGTTTCGATCTGACGCCCCGCCCATAAACAATCAGAGTGACTAGTGAAAGATTCTGAAAGTCTCAACTGAAAAAAATGTTTCTTTATCAAGACATTGAATTTTCACGTAAACTCAATTTTTGTGGCAAACAACCATTTTTTTTTTAAATTCAATATCCTGACAAAGCAGCATTCTTGTCGACTAAAACTTTCGGAGTATTCTACTAATCATTCGATCTATTCATGGGTCGTAACTCGACACCAGAGACCGATGGGCGTGAATTCTTTTAGAGCTCTTTTTAATCTTGTCAAGACCTTCTTGTGAACCCAATCTGAACTCTAAGCGTGGGTATTAGTTCGGGTAGTTTCCTTTTTTATTGATATAAATGACAAATTCTGTAGACATAGTAATAATGATGATCGAGAACAACTTCATTTAAATGATTACATATCTCGAGCTCAAAAAGGACATAGTGGTTATAATCAACAACGATTTTATAATGATTATCGTCAACGAGTACCACAAAAAAATTTTAATCATTCATATAATATTCGAAAGGATGATTTCGATGTTAAAGATTATGGTCCCTCATTATCAAATAATCATAATGGTGCTTCTAATAGAAATATAAATACTTATGAAAAACCACAAACAACATTTCGTCAACAACAACAACAACAACAACAACAGAATAATTATAATCCATATAAAATTGATGAACGAATATTTCATCGTCGAAGAAATTTTACGAATAGCCAAATTCAACAACAAGATAATGTATCAAAACTTCATAATAATAATAATAATAATCCTAATCGAAATATTCCAAGACGATTCGATGAAAAATCTAATGAAAATAATCAATTCAAGAAAAACTATGAATATTTTAATAAAAGTGGAAAAAATCAACATGAAAGTCAAAATTTAAAAAGATTTGAGTTCTATGAAAATAAGAATAATTTACCACCTCGTCTTCAAGTAATTTATAATAAACGAGATCTAATCCAAAAACAACAATATCAACGTAAATTTAAAATAATAAAAATCTTCTTAAGTATTATTCTTCGGTTTTTTTAGAAAATCCAACTTCAAATATTTCAACTGATATATCGAATATTGAACGTCCTAAACGATATTCAAACATGCGTAATACTATGACAAATTCAATTGAACAACAACAACAAATGCTATCATCAAAAATACAACATTATCAAGATCAACGTTCTAATAATATTGAACTAAGTATTTTACATTATTCTTGATCATTACTTGAATATGAATAATCTCTTCAAATAATTTAGATGATTGGCCACAAGCACCACCACCTCCAACATCATATCTTCCTCAACAAAACACAACATCTCAAATATTTTACCAACAACAACATGCACAACACATTCCAAGAAACTATTCACCAGCATCTATTTCACAGAAGGTTTGTAAAAAATTTTCTTCGTGTGAAACACGTTTTTTAAAAGGAGTGCTGAAGTACATAGGGTAGAAATTTGTACTCCGAACTAACGATGATAGGTCGAGACAGGAACATTAGAGACGACTCATGACAGAAGTGGCAGATCAAACACCTGACAAACATCATAGCAGCACTTCCTTCTTTCCGTGTTGTAAGTCACGACAGACGTTTTTCATATACGGTTACAGACGTTGTTGATATACGGTCAAAGACTGTGTATCAATAGTATATCTGAGTATGATATATGAGTTAGTTCCTTATTGCATTTCTGAAGATAATATTCTATTTCATATTTGAATTCCACAATATTTGCGCCAACAGCTTTTAGAGTAGAATCAACAAACTTTTGTATCAAGAAGCTTGTATATTTTCTGAAGAAATATATTTCCTAATAGATATCAACGTCATTCGACGTGTTCTCTGTCTCTATATTGCTTTAGCAGATTTTCTAATGCAAGAGAAAAACTCAAATGTCAAAATAAGAATTACTGTTCTGGAAAATCCAATGATAGGATAAGCTTCATTGCAAGGACTAATGTTGAAGTAGAGTAATAAGAAAAAACTACGCTATAGAATAATTACGTCTAGCATCGATTCACACTAGAGAAATGATTCTAACAGTCTGTTGTTGGATAGTATACTATGTTATAAAAGATGTAAAATGCTTTACTCAATTATAAGGCTTTCGTTACAATTGAATAGCGAATAATAAAACTTTTATTTATACGATGATTTTGTATAACAATACGAGAGATAATTGTAATCGTTCTAATATATTTTTTTCCCAAGATCGTCGTTCTAAATGTATAGTTTTATTTAATTATTTTTCAACAATCAAAGTCAAATTAATAGATTAAATTAGAACAAAATTTTCTTTTGCATCATTGATCAATAATTAAATTATTTGATATACAACAAAACTGTTATAGAAAACATCATATAAACATTTACATCTCAAAATAGTTTGCAACTTATATTAAAGGTTTCATAGACAGCTGTCTTCTTTTTTTTTTTATTGTAAAAAAAATGTTAAAACAAATTTATTGAATTTTAAATGAACTATTTTTTACAATCTTACGAAAAAAAAAACTTCATTTTCTTATAGTTTCAAGAAAATAAATAATATCAAACAATCAATCAAGTCTTGCAAAGTTTGAAGTAATAGTAAAGAAAATGTAATTGAATACAAACAAAAATTGAAGAGAATCAACATCAATTCTCTATTTTTTTTAAATGTTCAATTTACATTTGTAAGTATATAAATATTGAACAAATTTTTCTTCAATTTATTTTTCGTTTTTCTTTAGTTCACTATACTTCATACTAATATTGTACAAGAAGATTTGCTCAAGTTTACGTATACTTCTTTAGTTCTGTGCAGTTTATAGTTCATTTTCTTTTGTTGTTGTTGTTGTGTTTTTTTTTCGTTGTTAAACAATGAAACGGTTTAATTATTTTTCTTTTTGCTACAAACATGAAAAATTATATTTTCCGGAAGAAAAAACAGAACAGGAAAAATCTCATGTTTATTCTTTAATCATTACTTATTGTTGAGTAAATGTGCATATTCGATCAATTGTCTGATTTAGAGCTGATATACTTGCAAAACTTCTTTTTTTGTTCTATAATAAGAATTTCTTGCTTTTGATGATCATCTTCAGACATTAATCGACGATGTATTGAGTACAAATGATTTATTTTCTTAACTAATTTGTTCTTTTAATATAATTCTATTCTTCTATTATGATCATCAAAGATTATATGACTGGTTCTTATGACTTTTTTCCGCATCTTTTTCGCTTGGCCTTGTCTTCGCTTTCTCATTTTGAATGGCATTCACAGTTGGCAGCGTCATCAATGTTCTATTATCATATTCTAATAACCAGACCATACCCTTATTTTTCTGTATCTATGACCGTTTATAATGCCATTTGTTCGATATTTTCTTAGAACAAATAATGACATTCAGTAAGTTATAGTTTAGTTTAAGCTGAATAATATTTCGATCAGTACATAATGCTATCATTTAAATACATACATACTAAAGGTCATTATTACTGAAGAATCAATCAAAAAAAAAAAGTGAAATTGTATATTCTTATTCTATTCTGTATTGATTTATACTTGGAAGAACATTACCGCTGTCATTAGATTGTTCGTCCCTTATAAGCACATTCGCAAGAAAATAACTTCCTAAGCAAACGAATTATCTCAAGAAGTATACGTCTTTAAAAATCAGCAAGTTTCAATCAACATATTTCTTTAAGAATGTTATACTACAATATAACTAGATATTTTCTTTTATTAATTTATTTATTTGATTTAACAAGTAAGTTTTATAAAGCATTATATATACATATATGTATATAAATCCTGATAATAGCTGGGGGCTTCCATCAACGTCGTTTATTAAAATACTTACTTGAGGAACAACAATATGATCTGCTTGAAAGACCTGTTCTTAACGATTCAGATACTTTACTGGTATCAATGAGTTTAGCTATTCAACAAATAATGGATTTTGTGAGTTACAAAAAAAAATAAAAACTTATCTATTTTTTTTTATGTATATTTTTTATTAAACAGGATGAAAAAAATGAAATTCTTGCAATTAGTGGTTGGTTAGTTTTTGTAAGTATATTAAAAAATCTTTCTTTTCCTCTATTTTACAAAACATATATATTTAGGAATGGTTTGATTATAATTTACGATGGAAACCAGAAGATTATGGAGGTATTCAATCAATTCGTCTACCAAGTACACGTGTATGGACGCCAGATGTTGTTCTTTACAATAGGTAAAAATAATAAAAAAAGAGATACAGATGAAAAACGATATGTTTTTTGTCTAAAGTGCAAGTGAAAATTTCGAAGGTACAATGAAAACAAATTTAGTTGTACAATCTAATGGTACCATATTATTTGTTCCACCTGGTATATTAAAATCAATATGTCCTTTTAATATTGATTCATTTCCATTTGTAAGTTTTAATTAATCAATTGTTCTATTTGATTTTTTATATGACTTCTTTGTTTTTGAATTTTTTTTGGATATACAAAATTGCACATTAAAATTTGGTTCATGGTCTTTTGATGAATCTGGTTCGCTAAAAATAATAGATTCTGAAATATTTCGCAAAAATAAATTCTTTTGTTTTTCTTTTAAATATAGGTGTTAATTTGACTACTAATAGTGATACAGGTCAATTAGATGCATATGTTAAAAATGCTGAATGGGATTTAGAAGGTATGAAATTTTTAAAATAATTTTTATAAAAAATTTTTCGTATATTTTTATTCTATAGCTTTTATTGCAATACGAAAAGCATTCGTCTATGAATGTTGCCCAACTGTATATCCATTTGTTCTTTTTACTATTCAAATACGTCGACGTACACTTTATTATGTAGTGAATGTTGTTGGTAAGTATATTGAAATTTTTTCTTCGTCATTAAATAATTGTAGCAAAAAAATCAAAAGGTCTGTTTTCTTTTTCTAAATAAGCTTCATTTATGTATCAGCTGAATGCTTCAGTTATCTCTATTACTTGCTTGAGTACACAATATCGTTTTTCTGTTACATCCACATATGGCTTCTAATAGATTTACACGAATAATAATAATTAACTAATTTCTTTAGCAGATATTTAACTGATTTTAATCATTTTTATCAATTTATTCCATAAATCTTATATTATCGATCGAAGATCTTATCGTAACAAAATGTAAACATATGTCTCTTTCATTTAGTACCCTGTGTTCTCATTAGTTTTATGATTGTACTTGGCTTTCTTCTTCCGCCGGACAGTGGTGAAAAACTAACATTACGTAAGTAAATTTCGTTTCTAATTAGTAACAATTCATTTTATTTTGATTTTTTTTTTGGTAGAAATAACCATACTTCTTTCGATTGTCATGTTCAGTTTATTAATCTCAGGCATTATACCTGCAAGTTCAACAGCATTACCAACAATTGTTATGTATTTTGCAACTGTTATGTGTTTGTGTACAATGTCAGTAATTGCTACTGTTTTCGTACTTGTACTACATCATCGTAATGCTAAAAGTCATACAATGCCTATGTGGGTATGATATCTTTCAATTTAAATATTCTTTCTTTTTTTTTTTTTTTTTTTTTTTTATTAAAAATATATTCTTTATTTTTATTTCCTAGGTTAAAATATATGTTAATCAATATCTTGCATGGTTTTTATGTATGAGTCGCCCAGAACATGATTTAAGTTGGCGAGCAATCCGTTCTCATCATCAGCGTACAATGGGACGACAAAATAGTATAACAAGTGATCAAAGATGTGCAGCAACACCATTATTAGCTAATTCATCAAAATCTTTATTAGCTAACGTAACTGGTAGCGAAGATCAAACATATATTAATACAAGTAATACATTACCAACTAATGTCACAAATCATATTGTTCCACGTCAACAACCTAAATGTAAAAATCCTCATCATCATCATGATCCAAATGAAATATTACTACCACGTGATATGCGTGTATTTCGTTCTGAAATGCGTGCAATTATATCTGAACTTCGAATACTTACAGATCATGTTAAAAAAGAAGAAGATGAAGATGATATATCACAAGATTGGAAATTTTCAGCTATGGTTCTTGATCGTTTATGTCTTATTGTATTTACTATATTGACAACATTGTTAAGTTATGCAACACTTTTTTCTGCAAAAAATTTTTTCAAACTTAGATAAAGATGATTATTTTCATTGTCTTCATTCTTATCTTTTATTTGTGTATACATGTGTGTGTGTGTTTGCATAAGTATGCTTTCTTTTTATATAAAGACAGAAGAAAAAAAAAGATTGATGATAAGTTTTGACAACGAACAAGTAAAAGAGAGGTCGACTCTCTCTCTCTCCCTCATATTTTCTTTTTTTTACGATCAACGTCACACTTGCATGTTAATTGCTCTCTGCTCTCCGAATTTGTTATTCTTGTCGATAGAACATAAAGCTGCGGTATTTCGTCAATGACATTAAGGTGAGTCGAGTGATTTGAAGCATATAGACTAATAGTTTTTTGAGCATATATATATATATATATATATATATATATATGCATATATTGTTATTCGAAAATGAAAGTCTAAATGAGACTTTTTAACTGCATTTCAATTCGATTCATTGTTCCATTTACTCATCTATAAATAGTTGATTGCTGATTCATCGTTTATATGAGTAGGAGTTCAATTTCCGCTCAAGTCAAGTATGTTTGTGTGGGAAATGGAAGAAAAAAAAAAGAGCGAAGAATGTTTGTTGGCTGCATGCTGTACGCTCTTTTTTTCTAGTTGTTTGAATCCCCTCGAGCATAGATGACAATATATGGACGAATGACTAATCGAGTGAAAGAGAGTCAATGTCCTTAGGGGTATACGGCAACAAACATACAGTAGCGATCAAAATTGAATCGATTTCGTTTATTTTCAGAGAGAGTGAAAGAAAGAAAGAATTATACTTTCTAATGAGTTAATCCATTTTCTTTCAAGTTCAATATAAGAAGTATGATGAATCATTTTGTCACATCAACATCATTGCTCTATCATCTTGATGTTATTGAACATAAGAGGGAAAAACTTGTTTGTTAGTCAGCTAAGTTTCTCTTTTTTTTTTCTTCTTCTTCGTATTCACATGCACCAATCATTAACGAGAGAAATATTGGAATGAGAGGTTAGTTTCACGTCACTGTTAGTTGAATAGAGTAGGAAAAGGAAAATGAAAGAGAAAAGAATAGTTCATTCATTGTTCTTTTTTTTTGGCATAAGTCATTCAGTCTCAAGTAAGTTTGTTATATCTCTCTATTTGACTGTTTAATCTCAACTAATTCGTATCGTCTCATCATTAGTATTCGAAAAACTTAAGCTTAACTAAATACAGGTGTTAAGATTACCACTACTCCTATTTCATTTTTCGATCTTGAATATTTATATTCAAATAAGTATTCTTTTGATACATTTAATGTAAATTTTTTTTCTCGATCTATGCCAACAGACATCTTTTGTTCGTAAAGAAATATTGTTGTTATTGAATCGTCTGTGTGACAAATGAGCTATTGATGAGATGAACTCCTGGACGGCAACAGCACGTCTCTCTTTCTTTTCTCTCATCAAAAAGCAATCATTGAACAGCAAATGTATACATACACGTTTGTTTTAAAGAGACGAACACACGCGTTTACATTTGCTTTATTTATCCTAATGAGTACTATGGTAAGTCTATCGATTTGAAGAGTTGAAATCCTTGTGAAGAGGGTCATATGTCGTGAGAAAAAGACGCAAAAAAAAACCTATGATGAATAATCTTGTTATTGTTGCACTCAGTGAACATTTTTCTTCATCATCAAAATGCCACCCACAAAATATGTATATTAGTAGGAAAAAAGAATGAGTGTCACCATTTTGTCGTCATCGTCATCGTTGTTACATATAATGATCGGTTTAAAGGCTTCAAATACGTCAATAATATTTTCGGTATAGGTAGGCAAAAAAAAAAGAAAAGCAATGAATGATGTAATCTGTTTAGCATCATCAGCAATCGTTGAACAATCAATATAAATATATTTGAATCCAACTATGAAGACAAAAGATGTCAATATAAGAAAGTGTTAAAATTCGATAAGAAAGAAAAAGTAAACGTGAAATCGTTTTATACTTGTTGTAAGTTAAAAAAATTAAATTGCAAGTAAGTAAAGAAAAGAATACAAAAAGAAAAAAAACTTTCATTTTTCTCGTTATATTTCAATGTGTATAGTTTTGATTCAATTCATAATAATCACTTGTATGTGCGTTTTTGCCTTTGAAATATATCACTATGTTAGTTTCTTTTTTAACTTTTGCCGCATGTTAATAATGAAAAGATCATAATGATCATTTTTAATGAAACTCTAATTTGATATTTTAGATTTAAACTATTTAATGCCACGCATTATTGATAATCTCATTCATTTCAATGGCAAAGGTGATGAAGTAAGATACAATCAAATGCTTTTTTCTTTTAATTTATACATATTTAATTTAACTCATATGTAGAGTTCTACAGGAAGTCGACGGGTAGGAATATGAGAGCATTTTTTCTTTTTTTTGATAATTTTATTAACGCTAACCAGCTGTTCTTTTTGAGTGATTTGATTTAATTTTTCAATACATGCATCTATGCCATACTCAATTAGAATTGCTTTTCTTTTCATTTTGTTGATCGAGGACACTGTCCTAGTACTCTGTCTCCTTTTCATTACTTGTAAATATATCAATCGAAGTATATTTATTCTATTCTATATTGAACACGTGTCAACTATATTAGATATCAGGCGAATTTGATTTCCGTTGTCAAATAGGACAAATGAAATGAATGTGTGATCGATTGAGTGTCAATATCTAATTATTAAAAACGAGAAAGAAAATGATTGTATCCATGTTGAAGTGTTCATACACGTTCTTTTTTTTTTTTTGAAAGTGACAGCTGCTTTTCTTTTGTTTAATATTCTATTTTTTAAGTGGTATCACTAGTTTTTTTTTCGGTTTTTTTCCTTTACTTTGATAGAGATAACAATTGATGATGATGATCATTATGAAGAAGACATACGGACTTCTGAACTTCGGATAACGAGGCAAACATATACACATACGTTTAGATAAGACATGTAAAGCGTATCAGTATGTTTTGCTTTTTATCGAAAGAGCGGTCAATGATGAAACACAATGTATCGACATATTTATGAATTCTATTGATGATTAGAGAGGGAAAAACGCGTCTATTCTTATTTGAACATATATGATACTCGATTTTCACGTCAACTTGAACTTTGAAATTCTGTCTTAGATATATATTTGCATAAAAATATGCATAGTTTGCATGTCTATTTTGATCGATCGATGATGAGATGAGAAGGAAAGGAGGGAAAAGGGGGGTTGGGCTGGCACTGACGCCAATCGATCGATCAAATTAGTCTCGCGTTCTCTTCTATGTATGTATGTCTGTCTGTTTTTGTTGTGTATTCTTTTCTTATTCTACAGATCGATAAATACGCAGCTGCCCGTCAAATTAGTTCGATCGATATCATTCGAAAGCTCCTAGAAGGAAAACAATAGAGGCGTGTTATGGCTAACAGCAATCATATTGTGCATTCAAGCTAAGAAAATCAATTTATTTTCATCATGCTGGTTTTTTTCTTGTGTCTCTCTAGCTCTTCCTTGATTAGAATGTATATTCGTGTTCACTTTTTTTTTATATAATAGAATTGATTTATTCTGTGCAAATATCTATATTGTCGTGTTACTTCAGCATCGATAATTACATTCGAATCTGATTCATAGGTTTTATTTTTTGAGAATATATCAACTCGTATTTTTATTCGATAAGTGTTATATGTGATGAGAGAGAGAGAGGACGAAAGTAAAACTATGGGAAGAGTAGACACTCAAATGATAAATGCCATCGAATGAGTAAAATAGTCTGGTATTTACAAAATGATTCTCTTTTTCGGATTGGTTATAATAAATAATGATTTTAACAAAATTATCATATCAGTTGTCAGTTCGAAATAAAAAAAATGGGTATGAAACAATCACGAAAATTTCATGCACAGAGAGAAACAATAGAATGTGTTATTCAGGAACAGGTATTGATCAAAAATAAGAAATATGCATAGACGCACAAATTTGAATTCTTGCTTATTGATTATACGCTTGATTAAAATGTTTGCGTTTCTTCTTCTTTCTTTTTGTATTCTTATATATATGTATATTATTTTTCAATTTAGAGTACACCGGCCATGTCAAATAAAATGGGTCTGGTGAATTTAAGAGATTTAGTTGAAGCTGCTGCACATAAATGGTATAAAGATAATGAAAAAGATTCAACGAGAGCTAAATGGGGAAAAACATATAATTGGAAAGAACTTGTTAAAGAAATCGATTGGAGATCATTAAAGTTAGTTATTAAATTTGTTTATCCTTTTTTTTTTTAATATATTTTTTGCTGTAATAGAGTACGCCATGATCCAGTTATTTATACAGATCTTGAAACACCCGGTACACCAAAAAATCATATTTTATTTCGTTCAACATTTCTTAATGATACAAATCGTGAACAAGAATATAATTTAAAAGCTGTACGACGTACTGTATCAACATGTTCATTTTCAGTATTTGAAGGTTATACTACAGAACAGTGTGCATCACTTGAACTCGAAGTTCCTTTACCGAAATGTGTTCTTGAAGCAAGTACAGGTTTTCGTCGAGAATATACACTTGAACAATCACGTGATAAACAAGTTGAAGAAGAATTAACATGGTCAGTTGAATCAAATATTAAAGTAAGATTTGTTTGGTAATTCTAATACTCAAAATTTATGAGAAAATTTTGATTCTAACGACGAAAGATCTCAAAGTGATAAATCACTTTTGAATCTTTGTTGCTGAGATATCTAGTTTGTAGTACGTTTCCCGTGCAAGATCATAGTTTTCAAGCAAACTCGTACTTGGGGTTTCTGATCTGAAATTGCACCAACATCAAGTGTCCGATTTGACTCTTCGGATAATTATGGCAAAGCGTCTAAATTTGAAAAAATACATATCTTAGAAAGACTCTCTCAAAAAATTGTGAAGTTTTTTCCTGTAAGCTGAATTAATCGAGGCCATTATATGGACAGAAATTTCAGGTCAAAATTTAAAAGTATGGTTTTGATTGAAAACTCTGATCCTTCAAGGAAAAGCCGCTAATAATGCAATATTTCAGCAATAAACATCCAACAACTCGAACTACTCTGGAGTATTTATTCACTTACTAGGATCTATTGATTACATATAGTCCCAACTTAAAATCCATTTATTACTTGGAGGTCTTCCCTTCTAAGAGACATGTCGAGTGACAAACTTTTCAGTTGTCCTTTTTAAAGCAAGAAAAAGCAGGGCAATTCAATTGACTTTCAAAGAAATAATTATGAATCCTTCCTCACAATACTTGAAAAATTGAAACTTTAATTGTTAGAAGATTCACATTGACATACGCCTTGTTTTCAAGGTTTCGAGCTCATATTCTTAAAAGATTGTTACCACTATTATTTTCAGACTTCTAAAATTAGAAAAATCACTTGGTAAATCAAAAAAATATTCCTTAAAACTTTGTACGCTTTCACATAGTAGAAGACTCAGGATCACCTATTGCTGGTAAATGTTTATGAACCTTGTTTTCCGGTAAATAAGACTGGAACAGAAATAGCATTATGACAGGTCGTCTGTTGTCGAAGTGGGCTGGGTCATGGTAAGCTTCATTTTTTACTCCGCTCTTGATCACCTCCCTCTACTACTCCAAGGACCTGGTGTTTAGCGTAAGATTTATTTTTTTTTGCTTATCATAGAGTACACATGCTTAAATGGATAAAGGTATTATTTTCATTCAGAGAAAAAATGGGTTGGGCGCATGCCTATGTATGAATCATGTCATAATGCTTTGCATTTCACCTTGTCATGTGACCTAATGCAAAAAAAACAATTTAATTAAAGCATCTGAATCAAACTTTCAGCTAGCTATGTATTCTTGTAGTGTTTTAAAAGATTGATAATTTAAACAATGATTAGAATAACTTTATCAATCAGTATTATTGAAGATAAATCGACAAATCTCGATCAATGATTCATTACCTTCAATTTTATCTGAGGATATAAATACTCGATAATCTTTCAATTCGTCCCTTCTTTCTCTTTCACCTTTCATTTTTCAATGAATGAATGAGTAATAAAAATAAGCGATTTGTTTTTCAACAAATAGATTCCTGGTATGTCTCAAACAACAGCTGAACTTGTTGTTCAAGAAGATGAATATTATGGTACATTTGAAATCAAATCATATTTTTTCGGTGAAATACGTGTTAAATTATATAAAGATTCTCAAGAAATTATTAGTATGGATTTTGGTGATCTTGAAGATTTATTTCCACGTGACAAAGGCTTTCGAAAAGATAATCGTGGAGTTTATCGTATAACACGTGGTGAATGTAAAGCACGTTTTGGTGTATCACAAAAAGTTGAATTACATGCTAAGCCTTTACTTGGTCAAGAATCAATACAGCGTTCTATACAACAACATGATTCACGTAAGAATAGTTTAAAAGATAATCCAGCACCATCAGCACCTGTAACGATCCTTCGTGAACTTATTGCTACAACAAATTAATTTTAAAAAATGTTGTCTATTTTGTACATAAAACATAAACCAAAAAGAGAGACTAGCACTTGTTTTGTGTGTTTTCTGAAGCACTTCAAAAAAAACTTAATTTTTTTTTTCTATATAATTATTATTATCATAAATTGACAAAACAAATACAACATATAAAAAAAAAACGTTTAAGAAGATTTTAAACTTCTACATATGTATAAGTATAATAAACAGAAAAGAAAAGAACAAAAATCCACCCACACACACACACACATATGATAAAATGCTTATGGAAGATTAGTTTTACCAAGGTTGAGATTTATGAACAAACCAAAGAACATATTCATCTTTATACTAAAAAGAAAATAATATTTATTAGTTTATTTATTTTTTAAGAAATAGAAAAGTTTACTTTTAAAAAACTTTTATGATATTCAATTGGTCCGTGAAGTGGTTCTCGAGTTGAAAATTCATATTTCGTTTCATTTGATTTACCTCGATTAAGAATAAATTCAAAATTCAGTCGACTAAGAAAAAGAAATTATTAGAATAAAATTAACAATGATTCATATGTACATACTTTCCATGATATGTAGCTTCTGTTATTATCCCATTATTTGGCTGACGTATTAATTTACGCCAATTCATACCGGTTTTCATCTTAGGAATTTTTATTGTAACTCTAACAAAATTCTTCGAAAAATCTTGATTAATACCTAAATAGAAAAGAATATTTTCATACATACTTTATTTTATTTATAAAATTAACTTACTAGCATTAGCTCGTTTTACTTCTCCAAATGTTTGATTCTCTTCTTGTTGATCTTGATTGGATTCCGTGGAATAAATATTAAATACTTTAGCAAAATCAGTCATGATTTTGGTTCATAAAAAAAATCTGAATACTAAAAAAAGACGAGAGATTTTTCAATGGTTTATTTTTATTTTATTTTTTTTTTGATAATGATGACCGGTACGATCGATCACACTTCTCGTCCAATTATAATAGTGAGTCGCTCATATATGGAAGAAAAGACGAATAAACCTTCTATGAACACATCTAGCCTTCGATCTCATATTAGTAATCATCTTATACGACCTCAATACCGAAAACTGTTGTTTTATGTATTGTCGCCTAGCTTCGAAAAATGATTATTATGCGTAGTTAAAAAACTGTAACTGATAAGTGGTGAAATGAGTAATAACGAGGGTGGGATGCATGATTGACATATATTGACAGATCCAAAATTGATATTTTGTGGAATTACTTGAACAATGATTCATATTGTTGAACAGAAAATTGATTTAAAAAAAAGAAACGATTAAAAATTTTAAACGAAAATTAAAATATGATTGAGATTTGAATTAAATTGAGATGTTTACCTTGAAATTAAAATATTAATGCAGATCTATAGTTGTGTTAATTCATTGAAAAATAGTTTTGAATAAATTTGGAATAAATTTGTTTTTTAATTTACAATATATTGTGAACATTATTATGTACAGTTCAATTTATTGTCACTTGGTGACATCTGTATGAGATAAATAATATGTTCAATCGTATACATACCTTGCTATTAATGTTAATCGAAAACTTCACAAGTCATTTAATATAGTATATGATATAAAATTACAACAAATGATTAGATAAAGGCATTGAGAATGTTTTTCAATGATATAATATAAAAATTGAAATGTGATTTAATGAAAAAAAAAAACTTGAACTACATTTGATTGATATACAATTAAAATTTATTGCTCTGTAACAATCTGTTATTCATGTTCTTCATGCAAGTAGCAAATGTCAAATAAGATGAATATCTACAAATCGCAATAATCGATTGTTATTTTTTCTTTAATTGACACTCGATTGAGAGTATTGATAAGAGGAACATTTTCAATGTAATATATCGATTAAGATATTGAACAGATTCATTTACAAGCAATTATTGTTGCTATTTTTGTATTGACTAAACTATGAAGGTTTTCATAATGAACTGATCAAATCGTAAATAGTCTGCTGTCAATAGCTACGTATAGATGAATCTTATTGGCTGGAGGAAAAATAAATTGAACAAAACCAACGTCATATATAAATAACTTAGACAAACGATAAAAAAAAATCAATGAATCACTTAGATGTACAAAATCTACTTGTGTGCGCCAATGCACGTTGAAGGAGATGTTTCTCTAGTAAGCATAAGAGTACAAACTTTGTACACAGCTTCTGTGATGTTTTTTTAAATGATAGGAAATTATCGAAGCTGCTTGTGCTTTTATTTAATCATAAAAACCGATTACTCTATGGCATCAAAAACATTTCTATCAATGGGTGATTAATAAAGATGATTTTTCTGTATGATCGGCTTTTATGTGAAGTAAATCAATTTCTCTTTCGCTTTTTGTTATGGTGTGCGCCCATTTTTTATCATTTGACATGACACACTATTTTCTTACAGACAGTCACCTAAAAAGATCGGTTTCTGTGAACTTTTTTCGAGCTTTCAGATAATCAAAACAACGACAGCAATGCTCTTCTTTCTTATGGCTGAGATAGCTGTGAATACAGTTGACTATAGATAATGAATGATATATTAACTAAATGATCCATCGATATGGTTTGATAGAAACATGTTGATGCTTATCGATAGAGTTCTCCATCTACTTTTCTATTCATTTTCTATTTGAAATAGTGGATTGACCCAACCGTAAATAATTCGAGTTTTCAGTAACAACGATAAGAAAGGTATTTATTTCTACGAATTGCAACTATCTCGTACAGAAAAGTAAGCGTATAATCAATCGTGAAATGATTACTTGTTTTTCATTATGGAAACTCGCAATCAAGTGAAACTCAAAATGCCATGTAATTCGAATGTGCAAGTGAAAAAGAAAACTCGTCTTTTCCTTTATTTTGATAGATAAGAAAAAATTTTCATTTTAGTAGCAAACTCTGCAATTCTAACATCCATGTTTATATTGAATATAAATTCATTACTAACCAACTTTGTAGGATATGACTTATACTTTGATATCCAGAGAGACAATGAAGTGATAATTTAGTTAGTGACATAACCAAATAGTGGGTAGAGGAGTCTTAGCCGTTTCATCCCGTCTATCGACAGTTGAGCTTCGGTTAAAAAAAGGTTTTCACAAACTCTACAGACATAGGCATGATGCTGACATTTCCTACAACTTCTTTCTAGTTACACTACTAACGAACGAACCTTTACATGTGTCAAACCGATTTTCGATCGAGACCATGTTCATTTGTTCAATAATACAAAAAGTCTATAATGGTTTGATTTTTTGGACTATCGTTCTTAACATATCGAAAGTTTACTAGTTTTTTCAACAAAAAGTTACAGTTCCCTTCAGGTCACGCGAATTTTAGTATTATATGAAATACAAGAAAGTTACAACTTTTCCAATGAGTTAATCTCATTGAAAACTTTGTTTGTGTAAAGCTTGAAGTCGCAAGTCGATTTTTCACATGATCCAAGGAGGAATACAATCCATTACTTGTTATAATTGTTGAAACAGAGGACGCTAGAATATGATGTTTATTCCAGATGTCGTTTGATAAAATTTACGGTTTAAACTATTCAAATTTGTTTAATTATATGAAAGTTATTTTTCTATGATGAAATTCAATAAGTTTTGTTGTTATTTTAAATCTTAAATACAGTAGAGTCCCACTTTTACCTTTCACATTATCCAACTGTTTTTTTTCTTTTCATGCAATAATATACTCTAGAAAACGAAAAGTTTGAATAAACCATGACTCTTTTGAATGGTATTTTATTAATTACCATTTTTACTTTTGTTTCATCACGATCAATATTTTTCAATGATCCAATATTTGGTCAACCAGAACAAATTCATATATCTTATGGACGTATGTTAAACTTTTTTCTAAATTAATAATATTACTGTTGTCTATTTGTTTTGGTATTTATCGCTTCAGGTGACCCGTCACTTATGATAGTAACATGGGTAACATTAAATGAGATCAACGATTCTATTGTTGAATATGGACAAGATGATATGTTTGATCAACGAGCTACAGGTTCGGTTAGTATATTTCAAGATAGTGGACCTGAAAAACGACGCGAATATATTCATCGTGTTGTTTTACGTGATCTTAAGCCTGGTCAAAAATATTGTATGATATAAAAAAAAATAGGATATAATTTTAATTAATTTTATTGTTTTTTGAATTAGTTTATCATTGTGGTAGTGATGAATATGGTTGGTCACCTTTATTTTGGTTTACTGCAATGCGTAATGATTCAGATTTTGTTGTTCGTATGGCTGTTTATGGTGATATGGGAAAAGATAATGCTCAATCATTGGGACGTCTACAAGAAGAAACGCAATTAGGTCATTTCGATCTTATTTTACATGTTGGTAAGTCTTTCTAAATTTATTCGATTAAAATATTTTTATAGTGTTGAATTTTAGGTGATATGGCCTATGATATGGATTTAGATAATGCACGTTTTGGTGATGACTATATGAATGAAATTGAATCTATTGCTGCTTATATACCATATATGACTTGTCCAGGAAACCATGAAAACGCATAGTAAATACTTAATTATTTGTTAAATTGAGATTTTATTTTATTGTTTTTTAGTAATTTTTCACAATATGTTGCCAAATTCAGTATGCCATCATCAATGAATACATATGGTGGTGATGCAAATCATTTTTATAGGTTTGTTAAAATCTCTTTTTTGTTGTTTGTTTAATTTAATTATTCATAAAAATTAGTTTTAATGTTGGTTCTGCACATATTATTGGATTTTCAACAGAATTTTATTATTATACTCAATATGGTTTTGAACAAATTATTAATCAATATCAATGGCTTGAACAAGATTTAATAGTAAATAGAAAGCTAAATATACTATTGTTGTTATTCTATTTTGTTTTCATTATTTAGGAAGCAAATAAACCTGAAAATCGTGCACGTCAACCATGGATTATTACAATGGCACATAAACCAATGTATTGTAGTAATAATAATGATGATGAATGTCTTAGTAATGATGGTTATATTTATGTAAGGAAAATATATTATTTAGTTTATTTACTTTGATAATGTTTAGGTACGTACTGGACTGCCATTTATTCAAGCCTATGGTCTTGAAAAATTATTTGCTCAATATGGTGTTGATCTAGAATTTTGGGCACATGAACATAGTTATGAACGTTTATGGCCTGTTTATAATACGACAGTAAGTTTATTCATTGATTCATGTTTGTTTTCTTTGTATATGATATTACTAATCAATGTTCAAAGAGATATTCTAGTGTTATGAAGGTTATTACATTATATGTATATACTAGAATCATCGATGGTTTATTTATCTTTGAACACTGATCTCTCTTCTAGTTTAATGCGGATCGATCGCTATTTGTTAGGAAATAAATTACATTCCAATCGAAACTTATTGATATTTGACAGATATTTTCACAGTCACAGTATACCTTTCAAACTTTTATTTTACATGAAAAAGTATACTATTTAGTTCTTTTTTCATAAACAACAACAAAAAAAAGCACATAATTTAGGATTCACTTGGTGTCTTTCTGCTTATAAAATTCGATCGATTTCACTTAGTATACGTTTGCTTGTTACTAATAATGTTGAAATGGAATGCAATCATTGTTTCAAAGGTCATAATTGTAGATATATACATGTATGCTTTTTTTCATGATGATGATTTATTTTCCTTTTCATGTATTGAATTTTCTTCATCATAAGGTTCATCATCATTTGTAAGTTAAGTTTAATTAAAAAAAGGAATTCTCTTTAGTGAAACAATATTGTCTCTCATTTTTGTGACTTATTCTCAACTACAATAAATTGTTGAAGTTTTCACTCCTTTGTTTTTTTATAAATAGAAGTTAGAAAAAGTGAAATAGTTTAAACCATTGATTTTCCATTAATTGTTATATTGAACCTAGGTATGAGATTATACCCGACCCGACTAGATGCAGGACATTGATATATAGAAGCTTTGTTTGGTAACCTTAATCACCTATCATGTGATAGCATGTGTATTGAAAATCTTTGAAATTATATTAATAATATTTATATAGGTTTACAATGGTACAAAAGGTGCATATATTGATCCTGATGCTCCTGTACATATAGTAACAGGATCGGCAGTAAGTGATTTAGTTTTAATGTGAAACTTTCTAAGAAAATGTTATAGGGTTGTGATGAACATCATGATCCATTTGGTGTTCCTCGACCATGGACAGCATTTCAAAATAATGATTATGGTTATACACGAATGAATGTTTATAATGCTTCTCATCTTTACTTAGAACAAGTATCAGATGATCAGGTCTATTGATTTATTTTTCATTTGTCAAAAATAAATACATAATATATATATATATTTGTTTTAGGGTGGAAAAGTAGTTGATAGTATGTGGTTAATTAAATCTAAACATGGTCCTTATTCATATTTTGAATGATTTTTCAAACTTCTTCGTTTTTTTTCCTAAGCACGCAATCAATTCATATATAGTTTGTAATTCTTTCTTCGGTGAAGTGCAATTTATTTAATTTAAGGTCATTCAATGGCGTTTAGTATTTTTTTATAATTTGATAAATTTTTATTTTATATTAATAATACTATTAATATTTACATACATATATATATATATTTTAGATATAGTACTCTATTATTCTCTCTAACATCGTCAGAGAAAAATAAATAAATAAAAGATGACAAAAAAACGCCGTAATAATGGTCGAAGCAAACATGGCCGTGGTCGCGTTCGTCCAGTTAATTGCACAAACTGTCGTCGTTTAGTTCCAAAAGATAAGGCAATTAAAAAATTAATTATTCGAAACATTGTCGAACAGGCAGCTGTGAAGGATATAAGTGAAGCTAGTATTTACGCCAAATATATTTTACCAAAACTTTATTACAAATTACATTATTGTGTTTCATGTGCTATTCACAGTAAAGTTGTACGTAATCGTTCTAGAGAAGCACGTCGTATTCGTCAACCACTTTTGTGAGTTAATGCTGGAAAAATTCGATCATTCATTCATTCATCTGTTTTCATTTGATTTTCAGACGTCCACAACAAGCTCGTCAACCAGGTGCAACTGGTGGCCAAGGTAATACCGGTGCAGCTGGTCATCGTGCTGCCAACAAAGAATCACTACAACCAGCTAATATTCCTGTTTCTAAAAGTATATCTTCAATTAACTTTTATATTGATTTGTATATGGTTTTATTATTTTATAGCATAAACATTCGGCATTGACTCAACGGTTTATTATCAAAAATATTTTAACCATCACTGCATGAATTCGATCACTATCACGGCCGTTGTTGTTTTCTGTTTCGATAAAAAATAAAAAACATAAAGTTCATATAAGAACGCTTTGTTATTAAATAAACTATTCAAATCGAACATTCGTTTAAATAAAAATCATTTTAAAAAAAAGTAAATAGAATTACTAAGTCATTTGATAATTTGTTGTTCGACGAAAAGGAATTCTAAAGTAACAAGATATTAAAAAGGGATCATATTCAATTGCATATCAATTCTATTTTTAGACTTCTCTTAGTACTATTAGACAAGTCTATTATTTTATTTCATTACAGTGATGAGCAACAATGAGAGTCAACATCGACGACATCTTCTTCTTGGTATAACAGGAAGTGTTGCAGCGATTAAAGTAAATGAACTTGTTCGTAATTTTAATAGTCATAATATCGATATAATTGTTATTCCAACTGAACGCGCTAAACATTTTATTAATTTTGAAGATTCTTGGTGTTCTCATGGATCCATTACTCAAATAAAAAGTCCATGTTATTTTGAAGATAATGATGAATGGTCATCATGGAAAACACGAGGTGATCCTGTTTTACATATAATACTTCGTGATTGGGCTGATATTTTTTTGATTGCACCGCTTGATGCTAATACATTAGCTAAAATGACAGTTGGTTTATGTGATAATCTTTTAACAAATATTGTTCGTGCTTGGGATTTAAAAAAAAGAAAACCATTAATTATTGCACCGGCAATGAATACAGCAATGTTTGAACATCCTCTTACAAGACAACATTTAGATATACTAACAAAAAATTTTGGATATATAGAAATTCCTTGTATTGAAAAAACATTAATGTGTGGACAAACTGGTATTGGTGCTATGGCATCAGTAGAAACTATTATTGAACAAACTTTGAAAACAATTCAACAGATGTCAAATGATGAATTATAAAATAGTTTTCTTCATGCTTTTGTTTTTTGTAAAATTTCAGCAATTTAAATATTGTCTAATAGATTAAATATTTATGTTATGTTCAACATAGAAATAGAAACGTGCTTTTGGTTAATGAAAATCATTTTAAAATAAGTTTATAACAAGAATAAAACAAATAAGAAGTTTATTGAAATAAAACTATCATTTGTTAAATATTCATGTGATAACTACTGAGAAAATATGATCGGTTTGTTTCAAAGTGTTATATCATGATGCCTTGTACTAAAACTGACAGAATCAAGTCATTTTTAATACACTCTGATAAGGTTGATGCCTCTGAGTCACCACAGAGTCTCCATTGATTCCAGTTCTGAGATAAATTTTTATTAGTAACATATATTCTGAAACTAGTTGTAAGCGCTATACATAGTAGGTTCTTATGAGTACCATGATATACTGACAATAGTACGGGTAAACATGCGACTTGGAGATAGATTGCTAGGTAAAAAATGATTACAAGTCTGTAAATGAAAAGCAAATATTGAAGCTTGAAGATTTAAACATGATGATAGACAACAGAACAACGTGCGGCATAGAAACATAATCATGTGCTGGAATCATACCGAGTTTCATGACTAAAGCGAGAATGAATCCAAATCAAACATTCTTGTTATATGAATAATATTGATGTGTTCTGAGAATGGAACATATGAGACTTCTCTATTAAAATATCTTTGTATTTGAAATGTAATATATACTATTTAAATATAATAACTTAATCCTCTACTTGATCCTCTAGCATGTGCTTCTTTTTCTATATAGATATTTATTGATCTATTTTAAATGATGTAAGTTGTTGAAGTATATGCAAAAAAATTTTCACAATTTCATTAATATATTATTTTGATCGGTGGAGGTATTAGTAAGATGAAACCAACGAAATGAATGATGCATAATCAACATATTATACATATCTATGAAGTCAATAAATAAACGAATTAAACAAATTCTTCTTGATTATAGACTAGTACCATATCACTATTCTTTTTTTTCATGAAATCGGATTAAATCCGAATAACAATCTTTCGAAGATCAAATTAGTTTTTCGTTTTATCTGAGTACTAATTTTTATTACTATTTATACATTATTTCTCAAAAGTTCATTGGGAAACTTTACGTAAATATGTCATTTATAATTCGAGAGATTTGATTACATTCTTGCAAGTTTTATTTCTGATGTAATTTGATTTATAACACATGCTCACAATGAGTACCGTCAATTGAGACGCATAAAACCATTTTTTTGAAAATTAAAAAAAAAAATATTGCAGAAAGTTTATTTTCGAATTAGTTTATCTCCATTATTGGTTCTTGTTTTTTTGAATTCAATCAAATATTTAAATGTCTTATTCATATAGATTTTAACTTTATATTCATGTATAAATCCTTTTAATGAGACAAGGTCTCATCCAAAAAAAAGAAACAGAGTCTTTTGATTGTTGATAGTGAAATGATTTTAATGTGCTCTTGTAAATTTTCTTCATGAAATTATTGAACAAAGTGCACCTTGTAAGACATTATCAGAAGATAATTAGTCATCAAAACATTATGAACTTTATTGATTTTCGTGAAACTGTGAAAAAGCATCTCATGTACAGCCTTTGTGCAACATTTTGTATGCCAAATGTAGTTTTCCTTGTGGCAATGATAGATTACTCTAGTTTGGTCATTAACAAAATCTCAAAGATTATACTATAATATTATTTAAAATAATATATAAATCGCTTGAATTATTTGAGAGTTCTTCATGGGAACTTTTTCAACGATCTTTTGGAACAACCTACATTTAAAAGCCACAATCAAAACAATGGCTTTCGTGAAAATTTCACTTCGTAGCTGAAAAATATCAATCAGAGTGTTGTTGAAAGAAAAAATATTGCGACTAACAGTAGATGCAATTAAAAAAAGAAAAACAATTGTATCATTTGGATTACAAGACACTTTTTGGAGAGCAGATCATTCTAAACTAAATGGTATCTTAGCTCATCTCGAAGTGGCAAGTATTTCGAATATCGCTTGTGAATTTTGACATTGTACAGATAATAAAAACTCTTATCTATCAGATTGATGAAAATTTACTATATGTATTGAAAGTTGTTGTTGAATTACTTATGACCTTCCTTTGACCATTATGAAGTAAACAATATTCCTTAATTCAATTCGGTCACATCGAGAGATCGCTGGGAAACTATGTCGTAAAGAAAAGACTTCGAAATTTTTATACTTGTTCTTTTCTGAACAATCATAACAAAGCGTATTACGTGTAAATTCCATATAGCGTTCGGTTCATTAATGAAAAAGATGTTAACAACTCTTCATTAATGGATTATTATTAGTACTAGCGATAACTCATCATTGTAAAGATCAATGCCTAGTCTTGTTTCATTGTACCAATATAATGAACACGAAATCCATAGATTATTTACAATGCACATATTTTACTTTTGGTAAACGAAACATATGATATCGAGAATCGGATACAATTTGTACCATATAAAGATCTCAACGTCTCAAATAACCTTTCAATAGGGCATCAGATGATGTATTGTTCTCGAGATCATTACTTCATAAAATAAGAAAATTGGATGTGGAATTTGAGAAAGAACAAGTGTTTCGCACTTTAATCACCAAAGTAATACTGTTTTGTCGTCAGGTGTACATAAACAATTGTACATGATAAGCCGAACTACAGAATCAACAAATGGCATACTTCATAATTTGAATATTCTACGATTGAATAGATGTATTGAGTAATCGATAGCAACAGTCAACTTAATTATCATATAATTCATCCTGTTTGAATTGAATGACTTTAGAATATTGACAATGAAGTTCATAAAGAAAACCAGAGAGGATATTTGTATGTATGTCGTATCAACGATACACCGCTCGACGACATTGTAACTTCGATGCTCATAACTATCAAGTTATTTTCAGTTAACTTATCGATAAATAAGTAACTAAACTGAGTATTCTACTCCTGAATGTTTGATAGAAAAATACACTTTTTACTAATAAATATTCGTTGATTTGAGCAAAGCTTTTATATTTTTTATCAAACGTTCAGTAGTAGACTATTCAACTTAATTTATTATTTATTGATAAATAAATTAAAAATCACTTCGTTGATCGGTGTAACTTCGATGCGACATATATATGAATAGAATGTGTGAGAATTAAAAAAAATAATAATTTTTGTTTCTGAAATTTTTTTGTTGCTTTTAATGTAATTCCATTAGTTTCTTTTTTTTTCAAACAAACGGATAGTAGATGAATTAAAATGACATTACCGGCTCTATTACCATTGACAATACTTTTTTTTTACGCGCACTGAAGAATGAAATTCAAGCTATACGAAGAAAAGCAAAGGTTTTTGTATTGACATTGTCTATGGGAGAAAAGTAGAGAAAGAAAAAAAATGAAAGAACATTTTTCTTTTACTTGTAAGTTGTTTTAAGCATGTATGACCAAAATTTTACAAACAAATGAGCACAGAAACGACTCACATGTAACATTTTCTTCTTTTCTTTTTTTTTTTTTTGAATAAAATATGAACGGCATTGCTTCCTACTTTTTCTAATCAGTTTTCCCTTCGAACACAGCGTAATAGCAACATCAGAAAAAGAACTGAGTCGTGTTAGATTTATTGTTCATTCTGTCTTATTGTTTGCTCATTTGACTTTGGCAGTCTTCCTTTCGAATCGTAATCAACATCTCAAGAAAGAACGAAAGAAGAAGTAAATACAGCTAATTTTCTTATTGGTTGAATTGATCAGATTTATTGAAAGTTTTTAAGAGAACTATGTGTAAACAGCAACACTTATATCATTTTTTTAACTGCCAAATATACCATCATGACGTTAGAAATTCAATTTTCTTATAGTATGTGAAATTATAACAATCAAATATACAATAATTATGGAATATTACACAACTCTGATCTCATTAAAGTAAAACAGAAAAGAGGTGAGTTTTTCAGCTTGGTACATTAGTGCGTCGGATAGTATGGCCTATAATATAATGATTTTATATCAGCAGAGCAAACGAATATTTGTCGATTTATATGCACTTTCATAGATTTATTCTAACCACATTTTTGGTACAGATCGAAATTTATCTTTGCCAAACAGAAGAACAGTAATAAAATACTTCAATTTATAAAAAAGAACATAAAATATGTGTTATAAATCAGACAAACATGTTGATTCAGTTCTTCTTTTCTTCTAGACTTTTTTTTTCCTCTTATTATTTCAAAAGTGTTAATGTTACATTTTGAATGTGGTTCATTCGAAAAAATTGTCCATCAAATGTATCTGTTATAATATTCTTAATATTATTTACTATTAGTTTATACATAACATTTTATAGAAAGATATTTCCTGCAACACCCCATGCTAAATTAAATCAAATACCATATGTTAAATTACTTGAAAAACCAGAGATTCATTTACGTGAAAAACCACCTGTTACACTACCTAAAGTTTCAACAGAAATTAACAATTCTTCAATTGAATATCTGGATAGTCGATTAGATTTAACATCAAATACAGCGATATGTCAAAAAACTGATTATTTAATTATTTATATTTTATCGACAATAACTAATATTCAACGACGAGATGTTATACGTTCAACATGGGCATCAAAACAGAGTGGTGTCTGTTTTGTATTTATTCTCGGACAAGTTCCAGGTAGAATAAATAATGCTGGTGAAATTAATATTAAAGTTAATAATGAAAAAAAGTCATATCAAGATATTGTTCAAATAGATCATATTGAAAGTTATGCAAATGTTATTTATAAAGAAATGGCTGCTTTACAATGGTCATATCATTTTTATCCTGATATTCCATATTTATTTAAAACAGATGATGATCTTATTGTTGATACAATTTTAGTATCATCTATTGGTAAATTACTTTTAACAAATGCTTCAAATGATAATTCTTTTTTATTAAAATATCGTCCAACACTTATACCAAACATAATATTATCTAATCGAACAACATTTTTTCGTGGTGGTTGGGCTATGGATTATCAACCAACGCTACGTGGTGGTGGAAAATTTGGTGTTAGTGAAAAAGTTTGGCCACATCCTGTACTTCCAGCATATTGTTCTGGATTTGGTTGGTTTATGTCAAAATATATTCGTGATCAACTGGTAAATGTATCATATACATATCCAGTACATAAAACAGCATGGATAGGTGATGTATTTATATCAGGATTTTTAGCTAAAGCAGCAAATGTAAAATGTACAGGTATTGCAATTGATTTTGATCAAACAGCATCAGCTAATTGTTCATGTTTAATGGTTAATAATCCAATGTTAACTGTATGTTCATCATCGTTTCATATTGGTGGTGGTGGTACAGAAATGCAAAGACATATGGAATATCGAAAAGCTTGGAATGTTATTCAATTGCGTCATAATTTTACTGATAACATAATTAATGTTTGTTAAGATAAATTAATTTTGTTTTGTTTTGTTAAAAATTTTCATGTGATTATTTATTTTTAAGTAAGATTAAGTTTATAACTTTCTTTTAATCTAAAAGATACAAGTGATAGTTAAAAAGTTTTTTCACTAGTTATTTAGACAACTATTCGATAGTTGATATCACTGTTGTTTTCCAAAGTATTACATTTCATGAACAATACAATTATGCATTCGGAGTCTACGATAAATATTCGCAGTACAGAATCTGTCGTGATGTGAAGAACTAAACTTGCAAGATTTTATTATTATTACAGAAAAATCATTCACAGGAGTCAAGAAAAACACTAGCAATCTATTCAAGGACAACCAACATTAGATAGGAATATAAACACGAATGTCTAGTAATCTATTTTAGTTTAGCAAGAAACATCACATGAGAGAAAGTAGTACGTGCTTAGAAATTTACAACAATTGATATAGTGTTTGTTTATTATGGGGCTTTCGCCTACTGAAGTTTTCATTATTGCAAAATGAATGTTGTTATAGTGTTTTCCTAAAATTTCGATCAATGGAAAAGGTAAATGTTAACATTCAGTTATCGCTTTCCAGCAGCATTCTCTAATTATTCATTTCATGAGATAGATCTTCATTTTTCACATGCTGCTCGCACCAGTGTTCTGCACGAACAAATTTTTTTGGTCCTCGTAATGCTTTCAAAGTTCCTAGTACTACTTAATATTTTTTGTTTTTGAGAAAAGCTATCTTTACGAGACACTAGCTCCTGCCAACGTCGCACTTTGCACAACACAAGATAGCCTTCAGTTAAAAATAAAAACACTCTTTGAAGGTGTATATTAGTGAAATAAATTTAATTATTATTTATACACCGAACTTTATCAACATTAAGCTAAGAGAATTGTTTTGTTCATCAATTGAACGATTCAAAAGAGAAGAAAGGCTAATATATTACCAATATCAATTAAAAAAAATATTCAAGAGAAGAAGGTAATAATAATGTTATATTACAGGTTAATCCAAAAAAATACTCCTTTCGAAAGTGATAATTACAAAGGAAGTAATATTTTGTTATAATTGAATTGCATTCTAATGAATGAACAATGAACTTGTCTAATTTTTGTTGATAGGTATTTTTCATTTCTTTTTGAATTAATAACTGATGCAAAAATTTTTGGAAGAATATCAAAAAATATTTTCAACTACGTAATATCGTATTGACTTCGACTCTTTTTTGAAAATATCAAAGTTCAGAGAGTATATACATAAAACAAAACAAAACGATATTCGAGAATGCTTTTTTGTTATCGTTCCTGTGAAATAGTACTCAAGATCCTTAGATTATTCGGAAAGTTTTAGCAAAAATGGATGGTTTCTTCTCGATATATTGAATATTCCATAAAAAAAGTCTTGAAAACGAATTTTCTTCAGCATTCAATACGTCGAGAACAAACCATTCGCTTGGGCTGAAACTTACAGAATATTCTAAGAATTATGAGAAATTATTGTAGTCAGAGATTCAGATGAAAATTCTTTCTTGTCAATTTTTTCTACGAATATTTTGCTATAAGCCAAAAGTCTGACAAAGTGGTCATGTCCCCACAAGCAAAGTCTAGGAGATCTTACACATTTTTTACCCTCAGTGAATTGTACTGATAAGGAAAATATCTCTTCAATCGACAATTAATATTTAAATATGTTTACTCATGAGTTCTTCTTTCAATGATCTTGGATTGTTCATGAATTAGTTTGTAACGCTCGAACTTTCCACTATATTATATTTTTATTATTATAATAAAGCTATGATCTATCACTAGTGATAATGTAGAATACAAGATTGAAATCTTTACCTTCGACTCTATTTAATCAATGCCAGTCTTATCGAATATGAAACTTTCTGGGACTTGAAATAGACACTCATAATTGAAGAAATCGTGATGCTCAAAGTGCCCTATATTCGTTTGTATGTTCAATTATTGCAGAAACAACATGAAAAGTAATCTATTGAAATTAATGAAAGAAATTGATTGGTATATGATTGTAAAAATATACTTTGAAAGTGTTCTCGTGATAATTCAAAATACATACGGAGAATTTTTTAATACCAGTAGAAAAAAAATGCAAATATACAACTAAACTCGAGACTTCTAAAGATGAAACTTCTTCAACTGTTCTCTTCTGGTTACGATGATTTTTTTCCCTATAGACACTACGTACTGTTCCTAAAAGGATTATGATTCCTTTTAAGATTTGATTACGTTGTCGAGTTTTTTCCTAACAAGACTCATATTTTCCCAAAACTCGTATTTTCAAATTTTGATCGGAAACTTTGTGCATAGTATGCACAGTCATGGAGCATTTTTTTATGCCCTGCCCTGCCCTGTGCCCTGCCCTGTTTCGCCCTGCCCTGTCCTGAAAGCAACCTATTAGTTTCATTTGTGCCCTGCCCTGCCCTCAGGGCAGGGCAGGGCAGGGCAAGGCAAGGCTTCGAAAATCATCCTGATTGATAAAATTAATAACAGTACGAAAAAACTTTATAACTAATTATTTTCAAATAGTGTTTTCGCGTTTTATTTACATGTTATCGATCAAATATCACAATTAATCTGTATGTTTTGCATGAATAAGTAAACACGAGCAAAAAGACAAAGATAGTAATCAAGAAATGAAGTCATCATGAAAGATGACGATTGAGGATGTGTGTAGAGTGTGGATATGGATGTGGATGAAGGTAAAGAGAAAATCAACACTCACATCCACACTCATTTGACGAGGTGAAGATGTAAATCGAATATGTTGTGGAAGATCCTATGCAAATTTGAAATCATTTAGAAGAAAAAGATATCAAAACATGAAATGATGAAAATAACTTGTTAAATTATACAATTGTCGTTATTCCACCATATATTACATTCAACTTTCAGCCATTGTATTTTATTTGTATGTACAGGGTGGCCCAAAAGTAATGCATCCAACAAAAAAAATTGAATATCTCCATTAAGGCTTGAGCAAACGAGCTGATTTTTTGTCAATGATAGGAGTATGTTCAAGGTTTATATTCATAAAGACAAGCCTAGAGAGACCATTCGTTAAGTATCACCAGTGATCTCAACAAAAAAAAATTACTTTTTCGCAGATAAGAAAAAAAAACAATATACTTGGCAAAGGATCTCTGTACGCATGTCTTTATGGATATAAAGCTTGAACGTGCCTCTATCATTGATAAAAAAAATGAGATCGTTTGCTCAAGCCGTAATCGAGATATTCAATTTTTATTCGGTAAAGTGGGGTTTATAGCACCTTGTATATTGGTTTTTTTCTTATCTGTGAAAAGTAAAATTTTTTTGTTGAGATCACTGGTGATGCTTAACGAATGGTCTCTCTAGGCTTATCTTTATGAATATAAACCTTGAACATATCTCTATCATTGACAAAAAAATCAGCTCGTTTGCTCAAGTCTTAATGGAGATATTCAATCTTTTTGTTGGGTGCGCTACTTTTAGGCCACCCTGTATGCACATATTACATTGAATGTCACTACAAATTAATGGATAATACCCAGTGAAAATTTCGGATACTGTCGCCATCGAATATAGTTAAAGTTTTACATATGTCGATGAACATACAATGATATCTATTGATATTTCTCAGAATATCAAAGTTATTGATTAGAAAATTTCTCTTTGTTAGGTATTCGAAAAAATTCATCAGGGCGAAAAAGTTTGCCCTGCCCTACCTCAGGGCAGGGCAGGGCGTCAGGGCAGGGCAGGGCAGCCCTGCCCTGTGACGGTCTCTGAGTGCATACAGAAAATTCAACTAGATTAACTTCTATAAAAAATTCAGAATTTTTCAACAAAACCTCTTCGACATATCAAACTTGCAAAATATATACCATTTTCCATGGATACTGTGTACACAACATACACTTTTTTATAGATTCATGTTTCGAAGAATCTTTGTTCCAAAGGTTGTCAATCTTTTTTAAGGAAGCTACTTTAGTTGAGTTATCTATATGCACAAAATTACAGATAGAAATTCAAAAATACGAGATTGCCGAAAACCTGGACCTTCTAGAAAGTAGACATATAAAAAACTCGATAGCTTATTCAAATATCAATAAAAATCAGAATCCTTTGGAGTAGTGATCAGTAGAGTCACAGTTTTTGACTCCGAAATCGAATGCCGACTCCGGGAAGAAAGTTTTTCGTCCATTCACTCCGAAAAACTCTGAAAGCCCTTTTGTAGTTTAGCGACATCTGATTCAGATCAATACTTAATGTTCTCAAGGAATAAAAAAGTACGCAAGTCAGTAAGAAACGAACGGTTTATATTATTATAGAATTTATTTCTTTGTATGTTTTTTTCAGAAACAACAAAAACATTATGAATAAAAGCATTTTAACAAAAAAAGAACTTAAAAAGTAAATAAAAATGATGATTCATCACTAAAATTAGTTGAGAAGAAGTAAGCATCAATATTAAGCAAATAATGAACTTTGTTTTATCATATTTTTGTAAATCATGTTCAAGAACGATTTGTATCTTGCAATTAGTGATCATCGAAGTCACACTTATTGAGTCCGAAACCTGAGTTCGACGCCGAAAAAAATTGGAAAGGGTAGCTAAAGAGATTCCTTTGTAAGTCTAAAGTTTCATATATAATCTTAACTATGTCTAAGAATTCTATTAGCATAGTTACACTGAAATTACAGCTTTAAGAAGAGTCACTTGAAAAAAATGTTAAATGTGCCCCATGTAAATCTTATTTGATCCAAGCGAACTTATATAGATTTTAGTAAAAAGTAAAGAATTACATCATGTCTTCTAGACCCATGTAACATGATATGCTATATGTTTAAATGATAAAAACAGGAATGTTCTTAATTTATGTATAGTTTTTTGTTTTATTTAACTGTTTTCTTTCACAATCTTTGTAACATTAATTTAATAATATTACTAGTACATGAATTGAGCAAATTTCTTCACTTATATTTCAAGTGTTTTAATAT